CGGGCTTTTTCGCGTTTCAGATCAACCAATTTCATAGGCGATGGCCCTAAAGGCATTCCGTAAAAAATCGCCCCCTTTAAACCAAAACTGTTTTTTTTACGTTTTGAAACATAATTTACAAATGAAATTTCATGGGTTTTACTATCCTATGATGTTTTACAAAATTTAAAACGAAGGTTGCCCTTTTTAAAATTTCATCTTTTTAGGAACCTTTTTTTTTCGAGTAGCTATCATTTATTGGGAAACAAAGTGCTCCGTGGTTTTGTTTGATCATGTTGCCCTGGTGATTCGGCGCTTTTTCGAATATTTTTCTTTTTTCATGTTTTTTTTTTTTAGAAAAATTGTAGCAGATAAATAAATTAAGTTTAAAATATTAAATTCAAAATTTTGATATGTTCTGCTTAAAATAATTGTATAGCCTTGGGCTTTCGAACTTTCCGGACAGCCCTCCCTATATAGGGGGGAAAATGCTGACCAGGGTTTGAAAATATAGAGAAAAAAATATTTTTGGGCCGGGGGAAAATTTTAATTCATTTTTATTATTTTGGCAAATTTTTAATTTTTTTAATTTAAAAATTTTGGTTTGAAAATTTTTAATTTTAAATTAAAAACACGGGTGACCAATTTAATGTTATTTCAAAATTTATTTTAAAACCGTTTTTTAAAAAATTTTTCTTTTCTATTTTGGGGTTTGCAAATTTAACGGGTTTTTTACATTCAGGGGGAAAATTTCTGACCAGTTTTAAAAATAAAACCCCAATTTTAGTTTGAAAACTGGGTGACCAAATTAAAATATATTTGGGGGAAAATGCTGACCAGTTTTGAAAAATAGAAAAAAAAATATTTTTTTTTCTGGAAATTTTTTTAATTTTTTATAATTTTAACCCAAATTCAATATATTGTATTAAAATTTTTGCCCAATTTAAATTTAAATTTAAAACACCCGGGTGGGCCTTTTTTTTAATATTAATTCAAAATTTCAATTATTGCTTTTTAAAATACATTTTTTTTCCCCTTACAAGATTTTTTATTTTAAATTTCATTTAAAAAAAGATTTTTATAAAAATCATAACATTTTAATTCTTTTTTAAAACCCTTAATTCAAATTTTTCATATTTTTTAGAGGGGATAAAAAAACCCGTTTTAAAATATCCTTTTAAAATTTACCCGGGTTTTTTATTTTCATGGGAGTAATGTAAAAAACCCTGTTTTAAAAATTTTTATATTATGGTACTTTAAATGTATTTTTTAATTTAGTTTTTTAAAAATATTCATATTTAAAGCAAAAAAATTAAAAAAAATAATTTAAAAAAAATAAAAATAATTTCCATCTTTTATTTTCCCCCCCACGGCGTTTTTAATTAAAATTCCCCCTTCAATGGTTTCCCTTTTTGGGGAATGGTCAGCATTTTCCGTTTTTTCCTTCTTTATTTTAAATGGTTTAGCAGTTTCCTAAATTACTATTAAACGGGTTTAAACTTTAAAAAGTCAAAAACCCCTTTTTGGCGGGCCCCCTTTTTTAAACGCACCGTTTGCGGTGAAGTTTGTAAAAAAAATTTTTGACCAAAACAAAAAACCGGTTTAAAAAACGCAAAAAGGGCAATTTCGATACGATTTATTCCAATTTTCCCCTTCCGCAAAAATTCGAAAAAAAATGTTTTGCTTCGCCGTTTTTTCCCAAAATATCGCTTCGCGTTGTCGAGTTTTTGGGTTCGGGAAAAAGTGAAATGTCCCCTTTCGGGAATGTTTTAGCGGGGCGCGGTTTTTTTTAAAAAAAACATAAAAATTTAAAGCGACATTTTTCTCGACATTTTAAAAAAAAGTTCCCCTTTTTGCCGGGTTTGTCGAGGTCACTTCGCATTGTCGAGCGGTTTGTTTTGCATTGTCGCGTTGTTTGTTATCCCCCATTGTCGAGTTGTCTTTGGGAAAGCCCCTTCTACCCAAACCCCGACACTCGACAATTTCGGAAAATGACAATCCCACAAAGCGGGGTTGGAAAATTTGCGACAACCGGAAGTGGGCATCCCCGACAACGCAAGCGACGCCTTTTGGGCAATGCGAAGGGGACACTCGAAAAAACCCCGAAGCAAAATTTCTTAAATGTCGCCCTTTTTTCCCCACATTTCTAAAGGGGGACAGTTTCCGGGCAAATTTTGTTTTTAAAACTTTTCGAGCGTTTGCTTTTGCATTTGTCCATATTTGCTTTTTGGGGTTTTTCGAGCGTCGGCCCTTTGCATTGTTCGCGATGTTTACTTCGCATTTCGTTTTGTTACCCTTGACGCGACGGACGGGCATTCTTTAAAAGGGGACGATAAGGACACCGTAGGTTCCCTTTATTGATTCCAACTGTATTGGGGAAAAATTTTTTTAAATTTTTTTTTGAAAATTTTCTTGTACATAAAAAAAGCTGTACAAATTTTCGAGGCCCTTTGTTCGCATTTTCGGGATATTCCCCTTCGCGTTGGTTCCCAGGGGTCGCTTCGCCCTTGTCCGAAAAGTCACTTTGGACATAAATTTTTGTGTTCTAAAAATTAAAAACGCAATCTTTTGCATGAAAAAGGCCAATGCCGGGCAAAAAAACAATTTCGTTTGCAATTAAAATTTTTTTTGGAAAGAACCATTATTGCAAGTGCCCTGATTGAATCTAAAACTTGTTTATGATGATGGGACATCGGGTAAGTATAATAGCCAATAAAGGTGAGCCCTCGGCGATATCCTGTCACCAATAATGTGGTTTTAGAAGTAATAGATAGCACTTTGATGGTATTAAAATTTAAATTACAAAATTACTATAGTCACTATTTTGTACAGATATATACATGTATATACAACATACGGGTACTCCTTTTGCAGTGCTACTCTCGCGGAAATGTAAAGTCCGAGACGATAAAAAGGGCAAATAAATTTTGTTGGCCCTGATTTGGGGTCCTTTTCAAAAAATTTGTGCTTTCCCCAACCCTTCGGAACTATTTTTCAAAAGAGAAAAAGGGTATTGGCCCTGTTTACGGGCAAAAAACCCAAAATAGGCGTTTTCGAAACCCCCATGGAAACCAGGGGCCAAACCTGGGATTCCCCGCAGGGCTGTCCCCTGCTTTTTTTCGTTACAAAAACCCCATTACAAGGGAGAAGGAAAAATTTTGGGGGAACAGCATGGGTCCTGAAACAGGGGCTGCGCGGATGCGCCCGGTGGTTTTTGGATCCCTGCTGGTCCCCAAAAACCCTTATGTTTTTTTTGTTTATGACGCGCTCATATGGTAAAATAAAATTTTCCCAAAAAAATATAAAATTTTAATTTTTTCGGGCAAAACAGGATCAGTCAATTCGAAAAGTATAAGTACATCTACAGTTTAAAAGAAATTTAACATACGTTTAAAGTTGGTTGCTATTTTCAAATTTAGTTGATATTTTTAATTTGGGATGGGATCTTCCCTTTTTTTTATAAAAAAATTTTTAGGTATTTTTTGTAAACGTTTTTATCGAAAATAAATAATCATACGGTCAATTTTGTTTAATACTAACTCTGTGTCCGTTTTTATTTGTTTGGGTCGTCAGACCAAACAAATAATGGTAGCGAAATTTCAGAGTCTAATGTTGTTAATTGCAAATGCCGAAAGTAGTCCACTTTTTTGAAGCGGTTACTTCCCTTTTGTATGTACACTAAAGCCGAAAAATCCAGGGGAGATCACTGCGTAAAGATGGTCAAAGACAGGCGCATCAATTTTCAAGCAAAGTAATTCCCGAATGGTCGAAGATTTCTAATATTGTTTTATTGTATTTTCTGATCGAAAAATAACTAAATACAAAGCGGACATTCAATCTCTGACACAGAAGTTTACGACAAACCTAACAACAAGTAGTTCTCAAAACAGCTTTAAAACTAGCGATTTAAAAGAAAGAAATATTTTATTTTGTTACAAGTATCCAACAAATTACAAACGCATTTAAAGTTAAACAATAGCGTTGGCTTATAGAATTGTCAATAAATGCACAATCACAAATTACGCGGATGAATATGATTTTATCAATGAAAATACTATTTATTAACCGGAATACTACACAAACCGAGTAGTGGAATATATAGATTCTACATGTCGGACTGTTTGGGCGAGAGGATTTTCGCTAAAATATTTACTTCAATTTTAAACAACAGGTTTACTCTGAACAAAATACCTCGAAATTAATAAGGATTACACAAACCCGAAATGCAATGGAAGTTCTAAATTTAGAATGACTTGATATTATTCAGATTTTCTGTGTATAACTTTCTCCGTGTACTGTGGGTAACCGCGCTCGCTTAGTGAGTGAGAGGTCTCCAGTTCGAATCCCAGTCGAGGAAACTTTTTTTTTTTTTTTTTGTTAAATTCTTTTTTAAGTGTTTTTGTTAAGGAAATAGCCATGATATGCAAGGATAAAGTGTGGCTGTGTCGTAAAAATGAACATAAATGATTTTTTTGATGCAACTCTAGTAATGCAGAATTCCGTATGTATCAAACTCTGGTGCCTTGCAAAATGAATTATAATACATAAAAATAAACCTATACAGGAAAATGCATAAAGATATACAAGTACGATTTAGATTGCAAAGATCAGAAAATTACCACAGAACTTGCAGCCCTTTGATTCTTTATAATATACATGCTTATAGTAAGCTCCAGGATTATTTACATCTGTGTTAAACAACAGTTAAAGTCGTTACAAGCCTTAATTTAGAATAATATGGTTTTTTCTTCAGCCCGTTCACATATAAATTCACCGTGGCTGAAGGGTTTTCGGGCTCGCTTAGGAAAGCGAGAGGTCTGGAGTTCAAATCCCAGTAAAGGTAACTCATTTTTTTTCAAAATTGTTAAAGTCAAATAAACATTGGATTGAATATCAGTGTTGCAATTAGTCTTATAGCCAATTTACTACAATTAAAACGCTGGAAAGAATTGGTGGCACTATACATATAATCTCACAACCTGCACCTTTCTTACATTCTGAGACCCAAACAAATTCAGCGCCTTCTGTGCTTTGATTATTTTCGGCATGGTTGTTATTGCTCCCAAATTCGGCTTTCTAACGATCGTAATATCAAACATGGCTTTGAGATTTGGCTCATCAAAACATGGGAACGCTTTCCGTGCGTCGCTCACTTCCATTTGAGATGTCACATAATACCTTTACAAAAGAAAATCTTAATTAGGAAGGAAGTCATTCTTAAAGCTGTTAGGATCATCCCATATTATGTATATCACAAGTTCAATGGCAGTGAACGCAAAAGAAATGGACCATTAATCTGAATATAGGCATACAATGATTAAGGATAGCAATCTCAGTCTTTAACGTGTATTTTGATATATATGTCATTGTAAATTATTTATTAGTATGTGTATTTTACATTTAGATATTAAGACAGTTTAAACTTATCAGAAAGAACATTCCCACATACACTGTTTGCCCGTTCCTAAGATAAGAGCCCTTGTAAATTCCGGCAAATTCGGCTCTTATTGGACCGCTGAAGTCTGGAAATGTGATCGTATAGTTGTTTCCAGCCATCATTGTTGAAGATAATGATATTTTTATCAACTGCTGGGATTGCACGTGTTCTAGAGACTTGAACATATTACTCGAACCGCCTTCTTCTGTTACAGTTACCGAGTCTTCTGTAAAATTAATTTATAGTACGATGTATATGAACATAATACTTTATTCCAGACTAGATAACAGTATTGTTCCCGACAACATTATTAAATGCATTTTTAATATAAAAGTCATAACTTGTACTTTATTCATTACTTGTGTAAAATTAATGTACAAACAACAAATTTATATCCATTTGCCATATATGACAAATCACTTACATTTTGACATTACCTTCATGTATACCACGGAGATTCATCTATATACATGTGTACATACCTGGTATCTGGAGATCTACAGCGTGCATAAAAATGTCGTCTGTATTTTGTTTACAGTAAACAAGCACAGACTCATGACCATAAAACATAAAGCCAGACGCATTTCCAGAGTAGAAGTCCGGTTTGATTGAAACTGTGTACAAAATCGGGGATAAAGTCTCGGGCAGACGTAAAGGATATTTCTTGGGCGGCGTCATGGTGGTTAGAGGCGGCCTAGTTGTACCCTGTGATGTTCGGGATGTTGTCGTCACTCGTGCACCCGGACAAGCCCCGCCTGGAATAATTTATTCAAATCATGATTGAAATCTTATTTTCCGTAAATGTATAGAATAGACGTATTACAAAATTTCCAGTTCATTTATCTATCTAAATAATGACGTTCATAAAGTCGCGGTATACTTTTTAGATGTGGTTAAATATATCTGACTACCTGTATAACGTAAATATCAATTGTAAAAGTATAATAATAACATTTGTGTTACATTAACTACATGTAACATATAATGTATTCAGAATCAGGTAACTGAATAAATTAGTTTATGAACATTTTAACAAAATACTGTAAAACATTTAAATCTGAACTTACATATTTCTGCATTATTATCCTTTGCTAAAGCAACACAATCAGACGTTTCAGACGGTGGCGTTAAACCAGATATATCACACTTGCAGACGGCGTCACTGTTGTTACCGGCAAAATGCACAATAAGACCCACACCGACAGCTACAAGAATTGCAAACAATAACAACAAAAATCCCGTAGCAATAGAACAATGGCATTTAGAATCCGACTCCGACGACGGGGTACCGTCGGCATCATACTTCCTCATATTAACCGAGTATTCCCCGGGCATTGCTTTAGTTTATTTGTTGATTTGAAAAATTAATTTATATAAAGAGAACGCGACATATTAACCTCATCTTTAACCAACCAGAAACATTTAAATTCACTATGTTTAACAGACTGTGTCCGAATGTGATGGAGGTATTTGATTATTTACAAAAAGATCTTATTTGACGGGTCTAACATTTATGGATAAAGTTATAAAACCTCTATATTAGCCTACCTTTTGGAAAGTTTATTCAAGCGCCCCCCCCCCCCTCAGCCGAAAACTTTTGTCAAATTTTAAGTTATGTGTCAGATCTAGAGATGATGGTAACTACCATTTCAAAAATTCAAAGCAATTTCACTAGATTATAGGTACAAAAGTTAAAGTTCTAAGTCGGAAAATCGGCAAAATTAAGTCATTCTTGACAGAGTTATATCTTCTTGACAAGTATTCAAATCAATACCTTAAAGGGTCTAGGGAAAAAATGGGCTATACAAAAAGTTAACCGAAATTTTAAGATGAAAAAGGGACATTATCTTGTCAAAATTCTGCAAAGAATTATGTCCTGTCTGGAAGTGGGGATAATACTCAGTAACAAATAGTCATCTAGCTGATATTATTTATATCTGTGAAATAATATTAAGATCAAATAAGCATATTTAGACAATAAGTTATAGTCTTTTCATTTTGGTTGTTTTTGCAATGAATATAATATTTTGAACAACTGAAAGTCACCTATGGAACATTCCCATGAAGTTTTGATGATATCAACGAAGGGGTTTAGGATGAAATGTTGCTTGAAGTATTAACAAAAGATTGGGGGACAGCAAGTGATCACAACAGCTCACTTTGAGCAGGCTTTTTTCTGGTGAGCTAAAACTACACAAAGAGCTAAGCATATTATTTAATTGTGGACATAATTACTTTTGCAAAACTGCATTAATAGACGAGGTTTATTGCTATTTTAGTATGTATTTTCTTTACTTTCAATTTAATATAAAAGTAGGTGTCGTTAAGATTTGATTTTGATAAGACCAGTTAGTTACTGTTTAAGAATTTAAGTATAAGGGCATTTATTTTTCTGTTAAAACATTAACTAAGACTATATTGAAGAACAAAACTTTGAACGATTAATTTTATTCTTAGTTCTGAACAAAATGATAAGTAATTAGATCATCATATTATATCTATGTAGGATATTTTATATAAGAATAAAAACACACATAATCATAGCTTTAACTTTTAATAACAATTTAATAATCACACAATCATATTCAGTATTACATGACCATATACAAAACAGTATAAAAAATAAAGGTATCATAAGAACTTAAACATAAATCAGAAACAAATAATAAACAAAATTACAGTGTAAAATATAAAGACAAAACATATTGTTCACCAAGCTAACAATTCCTTGTACTGAAAAAAGCAAATCCAATCAAAGAAAACCAAATTTACAGGTTTTGACCATATACAATGTATGTGTTTACTTTACATTATGAGAGAAAATAAATCTCAAATCCTATAGTTTCAAAACAAATCAAGTTTAACATCACCTTGTGATCAACTAAGGAACCTCATTTAATTTCTCAAAAAGCAAAATGTTTTACAGATTGTAGTCTCATCATATTTGCTTCTTTTATTTAAATAACTCTTGGTCAATTAGAACTCAAACATCCAGTTTAGGTATAAACATTTATATCAAAACATTTTCATTTGAACTAAGAATTAACCTCATTAATTAGAGAAACCCCGTGATATACATGTAAAATTCATATAATAGACATATATTGTGTTGGTGGGACGTAAACCCCCCCCCCCCCCCCCCCCCCCCCCCCCCCCCCCCCCAAAAAAAAAAAAAAAAAAAAAATAACCATGGCAATTAAAAAGACACTTTATGGTCTATATAAATATTTGTAGTAAATCCCAACCAAAAAATCAATTAACAGTGGCAATTAAAAGACAGTTTTTGGTATATATAATATATGTACATGCAAACACAAACTTTCTTTAAAAGCATACAATAATTGCATTTTAATATTGAAATCCCTTCTACTTTGAACTGACTATTCAAAAGTGAAAGCAGGTCACATCCATTACACAACACAAGCTTAACTAGTGGTTTTAAGAGAGAACATCAATATTTTCAGACTGCCCTAGAGTAGGAAATTCTTCCTGACTGGTCCTGAGGGCATTTTTCATTGCCTGTAGAACAGTGATGGCTGCAAGAAGTCCCATGGCTGTCTCATTATAACCTTGATCTTGTAATATATGAACGAGTTCATTCCATTCATGTAATGATGTCCCGTGATCATCTAGGACAGCTGCATGGAAGGCGGATGTGTGCGGGTCATCTGAAATTAACATCAAATTATACATTTTATACATGTAGTGTAACAGTATCAAGTGATTTATGTTTGTACAATTACATCTTATCAAAATCTTAGTAAAAAAGTTTGACACACTAAAGCCATTTCTGGAGTTTCAACACTTTTTGGTAAAATTTCATCTTTCGGATCATAGAAATTATTCCATAAGTTCAAGCTAATAGAGTAATACTAGTCAACACCAGGACTGGTTTACAATATTTTATTTATGTCTACTAGTTTCGGTCAATACTTGACCTTCATCAGGACCAATCAATATATTGATATTGGTATAAAACTAAGATAAAAATCTCATCAATTCATTCCCAAACATTGTAGAAGTTTTAGTTGATAAATAAATGTACCTACCAATATTATAATAAACAAATTTTTCAAGACATAGCGCTATACAAGTAAAAGAAAAGATATGAAATTTGAAATAATTGCTTTTCATAAATAAATTAGGAATTGTGAAAGTTTTACCTTTAGAGGGTTTATTTTGCATCTCCTGGATAAAGGGTAGAGCTAAATCAAACTTGTTTTGTTCCATCAGATTCATAATAGCACAACCAATAGGTAGATGGCGCTCCCCTTTGTTGTCAACTTCGACAAGAGTGTGTAATAATTGTATGGAAGGACTCATGCGTAATAATTCCTCATAATCTTCTCTTGAGAAGTTACATCTTTGTCGAACTACGTCTAGACCAGCTTTTACTCTCCCTTGTTTTAATAAGCAGACAATAGCTTCCTTGTATATCTTAAGTTTGATGAAAACATTTTGTGCTAGAGCCTGACACGAACATCGACATGGTATCTTACATTTACAATGATCCTTTATTAAATGTCCAATCTCTTCAGAAAATGTCAACCTTGTAAAGAGAAAAAATAAAACACAATTAGTAACTATTTGTCTGTTGGTATGAACTGAAAACAATTATCTTAAATAGTATACTAAGATTTCGTAATGAATAGTGTGGTTGTAAAACACAATTTCTCCTAACAAGAAACTCAAATTATTTATTATGACTAGCAAAAAATTCGAAATATTGTCTTGAATTTGAAAATTTAACCTTTAAGGTGAAGGTCAATAGGGAATCGATGTGATATATCAAGATTATCATGTAAAGATACACTTTGTCAATAATAATTGTCCATTATTGCAGTTTCATTTATTCTAAAGTTACAGTATTACAGATGTAGGTACCTTTTCTGGGCTACCCAATGTGATAGAAGATCTAATCTATTTTCATACAGAGCACATTCGACACATTCAAGAGACAGACGGGCATCTGGGCGAGCGTTCTCCGATCCTGCTGACGGCATCAGGGCATCACAAAACATCAACAATGGTGTACGACCATTGATTCTTAACTGTACATCTGAAAAAAATTAAAACACTTCCAATTATATCTTCATGTAAAAAATATCTTATAACTTACATGCTGAACAAGTAATAACAATAAATACAGAACTTTGTAGTAAATATAATTTGTACTAATCAAATCAAACAAATATTTCCTTTCGCTTAGAGATATCTCCATAACGTCAGTTACATAAGCAAGTAAAAAGCAGAAATTTATAAAAGGCCATTTATAAGACATAAAAATCGATTATATTCATTCCTTGAAATCTGTTAGAGATTAAGAAATGGTATGCACCCATTGGCCATACATATAGCCGGACCATCTCTTTTTAAAAAAAATTTTAACCATCAGTAAAATACATTGTTAGAGTCATAAAGTAATTTCTAAGGAAGACAAAATACAAATCATGTTTTGATCTGATATGACAATATTTTACCATCTTTATGCAAAAGCATTCAGCCTGATAATTCTATTATCAAACAAGAGCTGTCGGTAGGACAGCAACGCTCGACTATTCTTAGTGCTTGATAGTAAAAAAAAAATGCTTGATACAGTTACCTCCTCCTGTTTACAGGTTGGGGTCATGATGGTGAACAAGTGTGCAAAGTTTCAAAGCCATATGTCAATGGACTTTGAAAATATTTGAATTATTACAAAAACTTTAACGTAAATTCTAAGTCGAAAAAGGGGCATAATTCTGTCAAAATGCTTGATAGAGTTACCTCCTCCTGTCTACAGGTTAGGGTCATGATAGTGAACAACTGTGCAAAGTTTCAAAGCCATATGTCAATGGACTTTGAAAATATTTGAACTATTACAAAAACTTTAAAGTAAATTCTAAGTCGAAAAAGGGGCATAATTCTGTCAAAATGCTTGATACAGTTACCTCCTCCTGTCTACAGGTTGGGGTCATGATGGTGAACAAGTGTGCAAAGTTTCAAAGCCATATGTCAATGGACTTTGAAAATATTTGAGGTATTACAAAAACTTTAACATAAATTCTAAGTTGAAAAAGGGGCATAATTCTGTCAAAATGCTTGATAGAGTTACCTCCTCCTATCTACAGGTTGGGGTCATGATGGTGAACAAGTGTGCAAAGTTTCAAAGCCATATGTCAATGGACTTTGAAAATATTTGAACTATTACAAAAACTTTAACATAAGTGGTTACGCCGACGCCGACGCTAGGGTGACTACAATAGCTCTACTTATTCTTATCGAATAGTCGAGCTAAAAATTAAAACCACAGGTTTGTCCTTCCTCTTTAGAGGAAAAATTATATTTGATTCTTTAGCTTGATGTTCCTTTAACATAAATATCTTAATCTTTAACAACAGCATGCATAAAATTATTACAACACATTTTTTCCTATCAAAGTATTACTACATGTATATAATGTATAATGACATAACAGGTTAAAGCATAATAAATGAATGTTTAAGAATGTAATGTAAATGTTAAAAAGTATTTCTTTTTTAGATATTTATAGGATAACAAAATCTCTTATGATATTCATTTGTATTCAATAATTGTTGTTTTTTTGTTTGTTTATTTCTTTTTGGTAGAATAATAGGGTGATATGAATGTCCACCAGCAAAATTAATGCTATAAACAGTATTACTGCAACATACAGTACCATATACCTGGAAACAAAATTCACCTGCCAAACAAAAGGCAATGATACATAACCACAAAAAAATGTATACACCTTTATACCAAGTAAACGTTGGCATTTTCTTAAATCAAAGACCTTAATTCAAGTTTCAAATATGTATGTACATGTATAAGGATAAAACTTAAATACATCAACTCTATGCAATGGCTAATTGCCACAGTGGTCTTACAACATTTTATAAACCAGCTGATATTATACGTTGACAGTCTATACCAATATTGTAACTGACCATCAACATTGTGTGTTTTTAAACTAGTCTTTTTGGGTATAGACATGTTGTGTCAAGACCTGCATAGATATTTATATATTTTTACACAAAAAAAATCCCCTAAAATGCATATGTGCCACCAAAATATGTCATGAATCAAAATAATTATATCAAAATATATAAGAAACATATGTGTTGTTTGGATTTAGTCAATAACACTTAATTTATGTTGTCACTAAAACTTAAAGGTCAGTAGCAATAATATACATTATAATTTTATTAAAGAGGAAAGTGAACAAAACAGGCATGCAGAACTTGTGATATAAACATGTTAATACGGGGAACGTTATATTATTACATGTGAAACAGCATCTAGCAATAAAACTTTTAAGTGCAGAAAGGTGAAGTAATTTTTTTCTTATTCAACCATATCATAGTGACTTCATATTACCTGAAAAAACTGATAGCTCTTAACATTGGAAAATCTAAAATAAAATTTAAAAAAAAAACAACAACATTAAGTGTTTTCATTTAGAAGGTGGTGAAATTAAAATACTTGCACCATAATAAAAATTAGAAAACATATTTCATCACTTTACCTTCGGTTTACAATTTTAACATATTTTTTATAATTTATCTTTAAGGAGTATCCAGGCTCATCCTTAAAAATCAGAAAACATTTGGGGTTCTACTACAAAGTTTTACTACAGTCTATGAGAATAAATATTGCAATATGAAGCCACTAATTGGTTTGCAAGAAACAAATACATGTGCTCTACTATACCGTCATCTTCCACATGTGTCACTAATAGTTCATGTATATAAAGATATTACACAGATATAAAATACAATAAATGTCATCAAAATACTTAATACTGCTGGTAAAGAAGGGATCTTTATAAAGAAACAAACAGATCTCTTTCCAGAACAGTTTTTTGTTGTTTTTGTTTTTTGTGTTTTTTTTTTCACGATGAAAATAAAGATAGATTAGTGTAAGTCTATGTATATTATATAGTCTTCTGCCACTGCAAACCTTTGATTAAATGTTTCATTCAAGCATTCTCCAAATATTTATCAAAATTTTCAAATACAAAAGTGTTAGAAAAGAATGCATAGTCTTTAAATTTTTAACCCCTTTTTCATTTTTTAAAAATTTTGGATAAAGGGCCTTGGTGCCCTAGTTCACTTTTTACATTAAAAAATTTCAATTTCAATTTAAAACAAAATAGAAGTAAGGGGGTTAGGGAAATTTCCAAAACCAAAAATTTTTTAAGGGTCTAAACTTTTAGCCCCTTTTAAAAAAAAAAAGAATTTTTTAAACTTTTTTTGTTTAAAATTATAGCTCTGTAGTCAAGGAAAAAACAAGTTTTTTAAAGGGTTTTTTTTTGTATGATCTATATTAAAATCCAAAGGGCCCAGTGCCAAAACAAATCTGAACCCCTTTTTAATCATTTATTATAAAGGATTTCATAGGGCAATGCTTCTCACCTAAAAAACAAAACTCTAAGCATTTTTAAAATTTTGGGGGGAAAAAAATTTTAAAGACTTTTTCCCTATGAAACTATGTAAAAAACCCCCCAAGGGTTTCGCCCCCCAAAAAAAAAGGGGCCCCAAATTTTTACCTCAGAGTTTTTTTAAATTTAAGTTTCATTAAAAAATGAAAATGCCAAAATATTTTTGCCCCCAAATGCCCAAAACTTTTTTGGGGAAGAATTTTTTTAGCACTTTTTAAAATTTTTATTTTGGAACTTTTGTCACCCAGATATTTCAATGGAAAGTAACCCATTTTAAAACAACCCTTTTTTCAGAGCTTTGGGGGAAATTTAAAGGGAGTTTTATAAAATTTTTTCCAAGTGTTTGACAGAAAAGAAACATTTTTAAAAAATAATGATGGACCCCATGGGCAAACAGCTAGAAATCCCCAAAAAATTTTACCATTTTTGGGACCCCTGTCTGAGGTAGCTTAAAAAATTTTTAAAAATTTTAAAGGGTTAAATTTAAAAAAAATCAAAAGAGAGAACAAAAAAACCCCCCGCAAAGAAAAAATTTTAGAGAATTGGTCTACTAATTTTCCCCTGAAAATTTGCCAGTGTTGGCAGGGTGTTCTGGAAAATTCCCCCTTTGGGGGTATTGGCGCATGTTGGCAGCATTTCCCCCATATTTCCCATCCCCTTTTAAACAGCCATTAAAATTCTCAAGTACTCCCAGCACATCTCTGCCCTCTTTTTCTTTTTTTGGGTCCCTCAACTTAAAAAAAATTTTATGTTTGAAAGGCCCTTTTACCCAAAAACCCCAACCCCTTCCCCGCTTTTTCACCCCCATTTCCCTCTGACTGAATTTTGGCTTTCAGCTTTCCGAGCTTTTTATAAAACCAAAAAATTTTAAATAAAATTTCAATTCCTTAGTACAAATAAGCAATTTAAACCCTCTGTTTTACCAGTAAATTTTTTGTATACAATTTTATTTGTCTCTATGTAAAATTTACCTGCCCATACATCATATTCTTAACCAAATATTCCTCATAAGCTTGTGACAAAAAGAGCAAAACGATTGTCATACTATTTTTGACATACAAAAAGTCTGACCAGACAATCTACTGTTGACTGCTGAATTTTAGTGCTTGGACACTGTAATCCCTCACAATTAAGAGTCCAAAGCAAGAGTTGATTACATAAATTCAATAGAGTAAGGATTAGTTGAATAATTGTTGCCGACATTCATCTAATAAATAAGTAAGACAGGGATGTAAGAATAATAGGAAAACACAAATGTACATACCAGCTTCCCTTTGTTTTTTGGCCTGCATGGCAGCATATTGTAAGGACATCATAACAGTGTCTCCGACGGTCTGATGCGGAGGTTTCTCCCTATTATATGCCTGTGCTGCCTCCGAGGCTACCTGTTATAATGTAACATACACTACTGTTATTACCAATTATAAAAAAAAAACATACATTATCTGAAAGATAGTTACCTAAATCTACTGGATAGTTACAATTTTTAGTACATAATATAAAAAAAAGAGGTTTTTTTCAAATCTGAATAATTTGAATAATTAACTTACTTAATCTTTTTTACTCAATTGTATTCGGCAGTGCTAAGACAGAAACTGAGACATTGTAATTTGCCAAGAAATCTAGCATTTCTCACACTGTTCTGAAAGAGAAATCGTCTTAGTATATAAGAATAGTTGTTGTAAAAGGTTTTTTAACACCCTTAAATCACATATAGGATTAAGATTTCTGATATACCTTCAGTCTCTGTCTTTTGGCCTTATAGAACTGTCCCTGTCTAAGGAGCATGTCTCTGTGGGCCACCTTATTGTCTAGGTTGTCCTTCAACTCTGTTTTTCGTGTTTTAGGTACATAGCGGGTCTTAAAACTTATAGTCAATTCTTTTAATTGTCTATCCAGCTCCTCTAGTTTGGTGTGTAGTAACTCCTTGTCTGTAAATCTCCTCCGGGTTTTAAACCTTTTAAAAAAAATACCCCCTTCTGGGGGTGCTCAAAGATCAAATTTTCAGAATATCCCAATAAAACATAGTTACCCCAAACAATTTTGAAAGTTTTGTTTGTTTAGGTTTCCAATTTCCAGGTTTTAAAATTGCATTTTGTGCTCAGTAATTTTGTCTATTTTTTTTTATTTTTAAATTTTTTAATCCCCTTTTATATTAGACTTTTCCCAAATTTCCCGCACAGAAAGGGTTTTAAAACCCTCATTTTCCCCTTTGGAAAAAAGGTTAAACCAATAAAAAATTTTTAAAAAGAAATTTTAAATCCCCCATTTGAAAAAAGAAAAGAAACTCTTTTAAAAAATTTTAAATTATTTCTATTTTTTGGTTTAAATAGTCTTCATTTATCGTAATTTAAAATAAAATACTGTGTATCCTTCAATAAAACATTTGAATTCTATACATTCACAAGGGTTTTAACACAAATGCAAAATAGTGCAAAATGCAAAATAATCTATTAGTACACATGTACTCACCAGGTATTAGTCTGTGATCTTTTTTCAATTCTCGCTTCGGAGGTTCTGTGATTTCTTTTTCCTGTTTTTCTCTTTCCATTCTTTTTACTTTAAGTTCAATGAGCTGATTGTGTAATCTTTCATTGTCCTTCTTTACTATATTTACTCTGAATAAGAAAAAATAAACACAATTTAATTGCTATTACTAACATTTTGTGTAACAAATCATTTCAGTAATCTAAATTGATGCAGTTGCAAAACATATTTGGTAAATCAATGGTAAATTTTTCATCAAATGAAAATTCTGCATACCTGGACTTTTTAGGAACAAAAATAAAAAATTCCATTAAAAGCAAATTAAAATGTCATATAAAAAAACAGTATGGTGACAAAATGAAATAAGTAACTTTTGGTTTAATAGTTGTTATCCGGAACTTGGCAAATGTGCATTTTTTTAAGTAAATCCCCGGTACAAACAAACTTTAACTGTTATAGCTTTACGGTGCACTACTGTTCTCAATAGATTAGTCAACCTGTTGTGCTTGTTTTCGAAGCTGTAACTGTAAAAGTTTGTTTGTACCTGGATTAGCTGGGGAAACCCAAAATATTCTTGATTCCAGAATAAGTCTATTGACATAAATCCTTTAGATTTATAAATAATAAGCCTAAATTAGAGAATAGTTATCTTACCTTTCTTCAAGTTCATCTCCTCTTTTTCTATAGTTTCTAATAGTTGAAGGCTCGGATGCCATTGCTTTCAGTTTACCATGTAGAAATGTAGCCTCCCTCTGGGCTTTCTTTATTGCCTCAATTGTATCTTCATATTCTTTCTTAATAGTTGTAAGCAGTGGCTGGTAGGCTGTCACATGTTCTATGATCTGTTTTATCATGTATATAACTTTTAAATTATATGTATAATAATCATACATGCCATTACGTCCGGGAAAGTCCCGGAAATAAGGTGTCTATCCCGGAGGTGTCCCAGAGATGATTTATGTTCCGGTAAAAAAAATCTAAAATAATCTACTTTGTAGCCAGAAATTTTACATTTTTATATGATTTTATTGTCAAGTTTTTTATTTAATAACTATTCTAAGCTAATAACGAATGATTATCCCCATACAGCATTGCTATATACAGTAAATGGTGACACTGATCCTTTGATTGGTAAATCTATGTGCCCATTCCAACAAACAATTATCGGCAATAATTTTGATCAATTAAAAGATTGTGTACCCCCTGTGGCTTCCTGAGCGAAGGTGTCATACACTGTAATTAACAACTGGCAAGCATAAATTTAATCTGCCTGCAGGCAGTTATTAGTGGTCAAGCACCTTGAAAATTACCGCTAAATAGGAGGTGATGAAATTTACAGGATTCGGCGAATGTTTCAGGTAAACAACATGGCTAGTTGTCCGTGCTAAGCATAGCTTTATTTTCTTCTGTGACTGATTGAATTTACGATGCCTTAAAACTTTGAAAAAAGATAGAAAACTGTAAATAACTATTGACATTTTGTATTGTTTATGTTGCCATTAAATAATTTGCAAGTTGTAAATACCGTTAATATAGGTTGTATGCCACTGTGTTAATTTTAGAAACAATACTGTTGCTGATCAATGCCCAACCTCAAATGAAAAGTGTCCCGGAAATGAGCCTAAAAATTATGGCATGTATGATAATAATATTGTTTCAAAATAATAATATTGATGGTGGTTAGCCTTTGTATGTATAAAAAGAGTGTATTAACCCTTTCGCTGCCAGAGGGTTATTTATTTATTGATCACCTATTTGCCAGAAGGTTTTCTAAGAAATTACTGTATTATTAATTAATATCATTATTATTATTTGTTATTAGTATTATAATACTTATATATGTTTTCCAAATCTGCTAGTATAATAATAATTATTGTGGATGGTATCATTATCTATATCTTTTTTATTATTATTATAATTATTATTATTATAATTATTATAATTATTATTATTATATAATTATTATTATTATAGAAATGGCAAAAGCCGTCCATATGGCAAATACGCCGAAAATAATAGGGACGGTATATGCCGTCCCTATGGCAGTGAAAGGGTTAAAGGTGAAGTAAATTAAGTCAACAACAGACCTTTTACAGCTGCTGTGAATTATGTTACAAATACAAATAAAAATAGCATACTACAAGAACAGTAAATTATGCTATAATTCTTTATAGAAATATATGAATACACATGAAAGTCTTTCCATAAAAGTGTTCATACACTGCAATTGTTTAATTACAAATAGTGCTTTTGAGAGGAGGTGATTTCTGTGGGAATATTCAAAATACCTTATACATATTTGTTATTCTTGGAATAATATTAGTTTGATCCCTCTTTTAAGTCTGTAAAAATGAACATTTTGAAATGTAATTTACCTTGTTGAATGCTGTTTTATACACAATGTACCGCTGCTCATCATCTTCTGGATTGACTTTCCGGAGTTCAACTTCTATGTAATCATTCAAAACACGTAGGAATTGTCTGTCTGATTCACTTGTTACAATAGGAGGGAGCCTCATGAACCCTGATGTTGGTGTTGAATACCCAGAACCCGTATCAGACATGATTGTTCAATCTTCTGTACTTATAGTTGGCTGTTCAGGTTAGCTACAAAAATAAATTATTAAAAATGTTTATTGCATTTTATTAAGTTAATGTCGCAGGAGTAAATAAAGGTCTGCCAGAAAAATCAGAACCGAATTCGAGTGGATTGGAACATTGTTCAGGACAATTTTTTTCTGTGCTCACCATAGACAAAGAAGAAGGTGTAGCGGGAACAGTGACAAAAGGTCTGCATGAATTATAGTCCAGAACAGTCAGAACCGAATTCGAGTGGACTAGCTGGAACATTGTTCTGGCCCTTTTTTCTGTCCTGATAAAGGAGGTCACTGGTGATGTAGTGAAAACAATGACTTAACCAGTCCTGAATCACTCGGATGCTAGTTCTGGACAACAATTAACTCTTCCTGTCCAGAACCAGTCCAGAACTACTGAGATTATATCCTCGAGTGACAAGTTTCGACGCATTTAATGATTGTTTTGGATGCGTCTATAAAAACTATGTGATTGTATTGTATAAAATGTTATAACTTTTTAAAAAATCTCTGACCTTTATGAAATGGGTAAATCTAAGCTGTTTTTCCAGCTATTCCTTTTCATGAACGATATTTTAAAACAAAAGAAAACTCAGAACCACAGGGGATTCTGACAGATTTCCCTGTGCCCAGAACAAGACTTGAACACATGATTGTCAGGGCCAAAAAACCCTTCTTTGTAGAGGCCGAATATAGGCTACTTCCCCAACCAAACTAGCCTCTTTTTTCCCCAGTTTGGTCCTCAAAATTCCCCAGTCTTTTGAAATTTCAAATAGAATTTAGAACAAAATTAAATGATGGTGTTAAACTAAGGTCTTTTATTGCCTAATTAGTACTTTCTAGTACTTTTTGCTTTTCTATTTTGAAGAACTAGTTAAAAGTTTGTGTTAAATTTGAGACCCCTTTCCCCAAAGTATGCCAAAATAACGCATATTTTCCCCAATATGTCAAGACAGAAGAAAATTGTCTGGAACAATGTTGCAGTTCATCTGGACTACAATTCGTCCTGACCCCAATTTGGCCAAAGCCTATTTCATTGTCTTTTTGGCTTGCAGCCATGGCTGCAAGCCATTTGTTTTGAATAACTTGTTCCGGTAAGGTGGTTTCCTGTTTCCAATTGTTAGTGCATGATTGAACGGGAAACCAGCTGCAATCGCAACTTTTCGGCCTTTTCTGTCACTCTTCGGATTAATGATAATAGCCGATGTAGTTCCGATTGCAATCGTGACAATTCGGGCGATTCCGTCATACTGCGGAATCAGACGAAGTAACATTTATACGGAAATCTACTTCGGTAATCCCAGTTTTTTGATATAAATAGGATTTCTATTTTTACTTGATTTATCGGTTTAAACCGTAATAAATCATAAAAGGAAATTGTTCCGTTTCAATTGTTTTTCAAGACGCAAAAGTTAGTTTCTTTTATAATTGTTTTTGTCTGTATTAGTTTTATACAATAGAGAATGGTGACTGTAGTAGTATTCCGTCTTCAAAGGGTGGTCCTGCTTATCAAATCACGCATGATCGAGTTATATTTAGATCTACTGAATGCAATTCAATGGTGAGGTAATCTAAAAATAGCCCATGCATATCATTAACTTTGCCACTAGCTGATCTACAGATAGCGCATCGTATTTGTGATCGTGTAACATAGTTGATACATGTTTATTAATTGGTACCACGTAACGAAGTATTTTAGTGCATTTACTTGTCTATAAAGCAAACGAATGATTTCTCTGCGAAAAAGGGGAAATGAAATGTGCACACTTGTTTCCCTTCAGTATGAGTTAGTATTTTTACGATTGATCATTTTCTTTATTAGTTTTATACAATAGAGAATAGATTTCAAATCGTTTTGACAAAAAATATTCGTTTTTCCAAAAAAAAAAAAAAACAACTAAATAAACCCTTTATGATATACAAATACCGTAATTCAAAAAAATTGTGATAATAAATTGAAACCAAAAAAAAAAAACAACAATTTTAAAGGGTTGGGATGAAGGCACAACTGTGCAAGCCTTTCCTTTTAAAAGGAAACTTTATTTAGACTTTTAGTTTGAACTACACTGACAAAATAACAAGAAATCTGAAAATAACAAAATTATCAGCAAATCGAGCATGTCACAATCACTTTCCAATTAACGACTAAATGAAAGATAGGTGTTGACACTGCTTAGATATAATCTGCTAATTCGCATCAAATATTGCACACCGAAGAACAATCACCTGCCATTTTCGGCCATTTTCAAACAAATTTGTTGTGAAGGTCTAATTTCCGATTCCGGCAGAAACGTTAAATTCCGTTACCCGTTTTATAATGTTGTGAAAGAGTTACTACTAAGATATGCAATGGAGATATTATTTTAGAAAAAAAAAAACAACAACAAAAAAAACAACGCCACAGCACCTTAATTTAAGTCAATAGTTTACATTCGAGCATCTAAAATGATTGTTTAGCACTAGTGAGTAAGTTAGTTTTAAAATGTTTCATAAATTGTATACTGTATGTTATATTGTTATATGCCTGGCGAAAATGGGCATTTCATGGCGCAATGGAGTAATTTTAGCAAAATGGGCACAACATATACGTACAAATAAAAGATATTGAATAAAATTAAGGTAATTAAGATTATTTGAATAAATAAATAAATAAATAAATAAATAAATAAATAAATAAATAAATAAATAAAACAGTATTAAAACCTTAATCGTATATCAAATTTGCAATTTTGATGATGTAAACGATTGTGTGTGCCAACAAAATGGACTCTAAAGTCTGCGCAATGGAGATTTTAAATATACACCTTGTACGTTTATAAATCACAATAAGTAACCTATAGTTAATGTAATTATGGACTTATCCTCAGTGCAGATTTTCTTTTGCGTAACAGAATTTAAAAAAAGAAAAACAATGTTTGTCCTTAATAGTAATTTGAAGAATTCAATCATTAAAAATATTTACTGACGTGGTTTAATGAAAGTCTGTTTTTATTATTTAAAAAATGTGGAATTAAATATTGTTTTGAAAATTTTATGAAAATGGATTTATCCATGGCGCAACGGAGATACATGTATATTTTAGCGCAATGGAGATTTTTTATAAAGGACACGTCCTTAATTAAAACGTTGAAAAAAGAATTGAATGAATGTTGAATTAAGCATCATATTGAAAGTGTTCTTAAATTTAATAAGATAATTGTGAACGAATTGTAAGGAGAATTACAACCTTAAGCTTGTGAAAATGGACTTATTATCGACACAAAGGAGACTACATGTATATCGTTCTGCACAACAGAGTTTTTTTCCATATAAATAACACAGTGTGCTTTATAGAGTCCAGTTATAGAAAGAAAAAAGAAAAAGAACAACTTTTATTAATACTTTATTCAGCACATGCTGATGCAAATTCAAAAAATGCATTGCTAATCGTATTTCATTGTCTTATTTTAAATTTTGCACTTCGTTGCGCCCGTTTCGTCCGTTGCGCCAAAAAATCTCCATTGCTTATTTTAGTGGCACCGTTGTGAAAGTAGTGTATTAAGGGTAGCAGACTGTTTCTCCACTTATGCACAAAGTTTAACCTGTTATAACAGTTTCTGTCTTACGACATTTCCTCATAGACTGTCCTCTCCCTATTTATATATAATTAGATTCAATTTAAGAATACAACCTGTTTTTTTCCACATCCATAATACACTTAATAAATACAATGTAAGAGTGTAGAAAAAGGGAAGCGCTCTTAAATTGAATCTATTTAAGGTATTTTTGAATGTGGAAAAACAGGTTTAACTCTTTATATTTATATATTTAGGGTATATAGGAGTGTATGAAACCGGCTTGCACTCATAAATTGAATCTATTTAGGGTATTTGTGTATTTGCAGGTTAAACTCTTAATTTTAATCTATTTAAGGTATATATGTGTGCACGAAAAATGGTTGTACACATAAATTGAATATATTTAAGGTATTTATGTACGTGCAAAAACGGGTTGCACTCTTAAACTGAATCTATTTAGGGTATATAGGTATGTACAAAAACGTGCTGCAGTCTTAAAAATTGAATCTATTTAAATTAGGGTATAAAGGAGTTTTACAAAAATAGGCTGCACTCCTTAATGAAATCTGTTTAAGGTATATTTGCACTGCGCTGTTATGAGCATAAACGGGTTGCATTTAAGCCAATCCGGAATTTTACTTGACTTGACGTTGTGTGTTGTCACGGGTCAAATAGAAAGACCCCCTACGAAGCATGTAACTTTTAATCAGAAAAGTTTTAGGAAAAACACTTATCTTAATACATGTAACAAATAGGGCACCGATTTAACACACTATCTAAGCAATGATATAACTCAATCTGACTAAACTTGTATCTGGAAAAAGCAGTTCAATAGAGCGCAAACTTATTTGCTATTGAAGGACTCGGCCCGGTGAATTTTCGTACTATTAGTTCTATAGTAAATCAGTCAAATTTGAGGTTTAATTCTGGATTCCAATGTTCTTGATGAATTATATACTGTCTTCAACTTTAAACATTAACACTATCTAAGTCAAATGATGCCCAAAATATAATAGGTTAGCCATCTACTTTTTTCAGAAATCTTCATTCTGTTGTAACACTGTTTAAATTCACCACTTTAAAAACTCCTGCCAGCTGGTGGGTAGTACATCTTTAATCCTTCCACCAACAAATGAGTTCCTGGAGAATACACAAAAAACAACTTTTAAAGTCATCATATAACACACAAAAACTACACACTTGCAATAAATACACTTTAATTATGAACAATCTAACTAGAGATGACTTAAATTGGGCCATTTCATAATTTTAAAGAACTACTTTCTAGACTACAATGGGCTGGGTCTAATTCCGTACCGGGTTGAGACCTAAATGAATCCAAAATTTTAAGTTAAAGCCAAAACTTTATACTCATTTCCTAGTAAATTTAGTGTTATACAAATACAGTCATATAGGTTTGACATGTCTCTAACAAATTACATTAATGCGGTACAATTTCTTAAATATGAACCTTCATGCGAAAAGTCAGGCTCGGCCAATAGAATTTTTCGCAAAAATTTATATTACAAATTCTGTCATATCTTTTGATTCTGTGAATGGATTTTCTTTGAATAAAGTTTAATGTTACCGGCTAATGTCATACAGTTACTTCTATGAAAGAATAAGACCTTATTGCTTAAAAATTGTAATAGAAACTCAATTTCTTTAAATGAGAGCATGAAATTTTGGGTTAAAATACAAGTAATCACAATTAAATGTGTTTTTTTCAAATTTTTTTCCTTCAATATTGTAATAAAACTTACTGATTATGATTTTTACCTATATACCATGGTAAATAAAGTTAACAACCAACATACAAACCCTACATTGTTTGCTTAAGATATCAATAAAGACAAACAGAGGTAATCTTAAGGTTAGCAAAGAGGTTACCATATCACCATGGGCTATGTCTTCTGACAAAGTAAGATTAGCCAACTCTCACACAAATAAGGCTTTAAAAAGATGACACATTACTGTCCCCCACTTTAAAATCATTGAGAAGTCTTAATATAGTCAGAATTAGAGAAATTTTCTCCTGAAATACATCAAAATAACTACCAAATATTACCCGAGCATTGGGAGGCGCTACCGCCAATAGCTGAAGTTTCAAACTAGACATAAGTTATTACCTTCTCAATGTGTCCTGACAAAGCTGCTGCCAAACAGAGGTGAAGGAGTCCTTCTATAGATCTTTACCAGGATAAGGTAATGTCATATACTCAAACCCAGGCTTTGGTAACTGCATGGTCTGAAAACATATGCAACACTAGTACATGCTTAAGAAAATTATAAGGGGCATTTATGCTGTAATTCTAATATCTGAAAAAGAAAGAAAATAATGTCTTAATTAATTCATGGCTAGATTTGTTAATTCACACAGGAGAGCTTATATAAATATTGTGTTCTGAAAAATGCATGCCTGCATGAAAATAGCAGTTAAGACATTATAAACCTAACCTAATTTAACTGCTATAGCAGCTACAACAACAACAACAACAACAATTATATCAACTGTGTTATTCTAAATGAGCCAATTATCCATAAAAATAAAATACACTGTTTAATGACTAGAAAATCTTTTATGTGTATATATTACTAGCAAATACATTCTGCAACACAGCAAAACATCAAGTTTCACTACACTGAAAATGCCTATATTTCCAAAATATAAATCACATTTGTCCTGTTCAATTGTTAGTTCTTCTTCATTTAAATACAGGACAATAGTGAATATTTACATACTGATTACTACAGCATCAATCCTTTGCTGAAACATCAAAACATATAATGTGTGGTCCATATGAGCAATAGGCTACTATGGTGCTTGTTCGAATCCCATGGCCGGTGAATCTTGGGCCCCTTAGAGAGCTCTGGAATGAGCTTGCCAATCACTTTTTTTAACCAATGTAACCAATCTGAAACCACACACTCCCCAATTCCTTCAATGCATAATTTATCCATAATTTAAGATGCATTTCTCTAAAAATTATCATTTTCTATATAAATCTTATAAAAATAAGCTAGATTTATAGCATATTGCTTAACACAGGGTGCAAAAATAAAATTTATCAATTTATAAACTGCTTTTTACAAAATTTAAATTTCATTTTTTTAATTCTAAATTTATTTTTACAGTTTTAATTCAATTAAATGTGGTTAATCTTTCATGCAAAAGCTCTGTACCTTTCTCCCTGCTTACTGACACAGTAGCAGACATCTACATTTGAAGGGGAGATAACAACAACAACATATGTCCCAATTCAAAATGTCAAATTTTAAAATTTGAAATAAAATTTAAAATTTTCAAACCTGTCAGTAATCCTTTATTTTCCTGACTTCTATTCATAAACACAACACTGATGCAAAGTTTCATCCATATCCATCAACCAGTTCCCATTTTTGACATTTCTTATCTTGGACTCGGCCCGGTGAATTTTCGTACTATTAGTTCTATAGTAAATCAGTCAAATTTGAGGTTTAATTCTGGATTCCAATGTTCTTGATGAATTATATACTGTCTTCAACTTTAAACATTAACACTATCTAAGTCAAATGATGCCCAAAATATAATAGGTTAGCCATCTACTTTTTTCAGAAATCTTCATTCTGTTGTAACACTGTTTAAATTCACCACTTTAAAAACTCCTGCCAGCTGGTGGGTAGTACATCTTTAATCCTTCCACCAACAAATGAGTTCCTGGAGAATACACAAAAAACAACTTTTAAAGTCATCATATAACACACAAAAACTACACACTTGCAATAAATACACTTTAATTATGAACAATCTAACTAGAGATGACTTAAATTGGGCCATTTCATAATTTTAAAGAACTACTTTCTAGACTACAATGGGCTGGGTCTAATTCCGTACCGGGTTGAGACCTGAAGCGGTGACTTACTCTAAGTTGTATCCGGAATTAGTACGGTTATAAATGGACTTACTTACATCCCAAACTTAACACGCATGCGTAGAAAAACCCGGAAGTTTACTAACTCGCGGGCTTTGTTTACAAATTTTAGACTGAGAAAGGACAATTTTCCTTTGTTATTCAGTTGCTCGACATGCCGAAAAGAAGAAATCCTTTCGGAGAATGTTCCCCTCTGCAGCTTAAGCAACATGTGGGTGTCAAAGAGATAGATTGCGGGATTGCACAACAGCATAACATGAAAAGTGTTTATGGTAAGCTTTTGCTATGATATTTTTAGTTTTACGGCGGGTGAATGTTCGAATTCGTACTAGGATAGTCAAAAAATTTAATTGCAAAACGTTCAGAAATTATGCACCATCGTTAATATAAAATAAGGCAAAGCCTATGAATGAGGAAGTCGTTAAAAATCCTTTCATTCTTTCCGTTTTAAAGGTGTCATTCTGTATTACATACACCGCTTCCGTTTTCACTCGGAACACTCGACGATTATTACTAATCCGAAAAGTTGAGATTTGTTCTGTTATCGGAATACCCCGCCTATTATCATTGACATACATTGTAAATGGCGGCGCCCGACTAGAACTGACACTGAAAATTTTATTGATAGGTATAGAATTCTATATATTTTTTAAATGTTTTTTATTTGATTTTCTTTTAAATATTCACATGTAGTCTATAGCCGGGCAAGACTTCCCCGTATTATCTGTCTTAACAGTTGTAGTTTGTTTCATGTGATTCCGAAATTCGCTGTCTTAGAAGCCAGAGTTTTCTTAAACATTAATGGGCCTTGGCAGTGTAGTCCTAACATCATGGAGCTAAATATAGATGGAAAGAAACTGTGGCGTCACACAGTTAAATTCAGATTCTGCGAGATTGTGTTTACGTAAGTTATCACATGTCACAAGTTATATATGTCACAGGATTTTCCGAGATTTCATGCATCCTGGTTAAAAGTATTTTCGGAGCTTCCTATCCATTGTATATATATCTGTGCGAATATGAAATCAGGCAAAACCATTGAACGGGGAAGTCCTTCATTTTCGACATTACTTTTTCCGTTTAATAGATGGCATTCTGTATAGCCATGCAAAAAAGCCTGGCCCTGACTTTGAATTTCCTTTAAGGCTTTATAAAATTGCTAGCCAACAGTTCTAGTTGTCATGTACTACTAGCCTATATGCATGGTTGAAGCTCAGGAGCTAGCTGTATGGTGTTTTTAAACTCTACTTAAATTGTTCAAATTATAGCCAGGGAGGCATTAATTTTCCATGTATGTATATAATATAGTATAAATGCTTTCTTTTATGAATTTTACAGATAGGACCAGAGAATTATTGTTCAGTGGATCAAAGCGTAGTTTTGATATCCCAAGAGATGCCAATGGAAATGAGATTTTCCCAACAGTTATTGCCCCTGTTGAGGATATTAATATGGAAGATGAAGTCTCACATGATAAACAAATGCTGATCTCTAATACAGGACAACTTACAGCTCCAGAACAAGACACAAAACCTACTAATGCTTTTCAAGCTTTAATGATGGCAAGGAAAGGTATGAAAATACCATTTCAAACAATGCTGATTATAAAAATAAGTGACTTACAGATAAGATTTTCAATTTAAATAGGTATTTCTATCGCAATTTTTTATGGGTAGAATTTAGAGCCAAATTTCTGCAAGGCTAAGTCTCATTTGTGAATTCCAGGATTGATAACAATGTTAAAAATCAGAGAACAATATTTTAGATCTGGTTGTGAGTTTAGATCAGTTTAATAATGTCATGGCATGTTTGTAATACTTGCTTTTTTTCTATAAATAAAGTTAAGTTGAATCTAAAGTAAGTTTTATTTATTTCATGCTTTCCAGTGTTTTATTGCAATATATCAGATGATTATATTCTGATAAACCACTAGTGAAATTTATTAAATATAATTTGCACTGTAGCCGGACTATATCTGAATGCGGATGAAAAGAAAATCATAACTAAATAGAATAGCAGGCAAACATAAATGCTGTCATACATAAATTTGGCTTCTTAAGAAAAAGCAAGTCGATGTCAGCATACATCATGTCAAAAAATGTAAAAAATTAGAGAAATTTAACAGAACTATTTTTCAAAATTGATGATGTGACGTCATGATGTGATGACGTCACAAAGGAGAATGCGCGACATTACGCGGCAAAATCAGTAAAAAAATACTTAAAATCACTCAAAAAGCATGAAATAAAAAGAAAATTTATTTGTTTTACATATAAGATTGAAATATATTTCATTCGTGAACACCAGCTATTCTATTTTCACTCGTGGCTATGCCACTCGTGAAAATATTACATCTGGTGTTCACTCTGAAATTATATTTCAATCTTACATGCAAAACAAACAAATATCCTCTATATACATGTATTGTTGGTAATATTTCAGCAAGCATTGTAAGTGGTTGTCAGTGTTGTAAAGGGCAAGCAGCCTCTCAGGACAGATGTGGATTCTGTGAGAAATCAATATGCAATGACTGTGTGAGGTCATGTACTGCCTGTGATGGGCACTTCTGTCAACTTTGTTCTGTTATGAGGTATGTATAAGCAGGTGTCTGTATGTACTTTTTAACACATATTGAACATGTAGAATATGAAAATACAATCTACTCTTAGTTAGTGTTCAAGTAGATACAGGGTTGTTTTATTTTTGTAGATTGACAAATGAATGGACTGGTCATTTACTGGTTCCTTATGATCATGTGTCTTTGCTTTTAAGCTTACAGTTTCAGTTTACTAACTGCATGAATATCCTTTTGTTTTCACCCTTATTTTGCTTTAGCTTATGATTTTTTCACATTTAGATATTTTCATTTTCATAGCAATTAATATCATCAAGTTATTGTCACCAACAAATTGTGTTACGTCTGAGGATTTCAGATAGTTTAGAGAAGGTTGTTGGTTCTAACTATATGCAAAGAGTTTCATTGTATAATACATGATGGGGCACCTTATATTAGTATTTTGCTGGTTAAACTAAATATAAGTCACCATATAATGATACAAAACTAGTTAAATCTCTATAACTCTTTAAATCCTTACATAAGGAAAATCATCTCTGTGATACTATAAACCGTATGTCTTAAATTGTTCGGTTCATTTGCAATATGCAAAGAATATGAGTAACATTAAAGTTGGGTTGTTGTTTTTGCATACATTGTATTATAATTACATTAATTATTGATAGCAATTGAACTTCAGAAAGATGTGTAGCTTCCAAGTCTTAAGCATTTAAAAAAGTTTACCTTTTATATCATGTCATTGTTATAATATATACATAATGTATGCATACCATTCATATGTTATTACATTTACCATTGTTTTGTTAACCATTCACATAATGTCATTGTTTTGTTCAACATTCATATCATGTCATTGTTTTGTTAACATTCACATCATGTCATTGTTTTGTTAAACATTCATATGTCATTTTTTTGTTAATCATTCACATCATGTCGTTGTTTTGTTAACATTCACATCATGGCATTGTTTTGTTAATCATTCACATCATGTCATTGTTTTGTTAACCATTCACATCATGTCATTGTTTTGTTCAACATTCATATCATGTCGTTGTTTTGTTAAACAATCACATCATGTCATTGTTTTGTTAAACATTCACATCATGTCGTTGTTTTGTTAATCATTCACATCATGTTATGTTAACCTGTTGTACTTGGTTTGTTTTACAGTCCCGATGATCCCTTGCACCAGTGGTTTTGCCAGAAGTGTTCCTATCGATTAAATCCCTATATCTACTGGGCCGCAGCATTCTGATATATTCCACTCAATTAATAAGACTTAAATTAATGAATTAGTCACTCTGTGTTTTTGAATTGATTGGACATTAATTTGTTAGTTGAAATATTTTTATCATAGCTATATCTTGTCTTTTAACTTACAATACCATTAGTGTGTGCAATACAAAAAAAATGGTCTTATTTTACATTTTTTCTTGACAATAAAATGCAGATTTTTAATTTTTGATGTTTGAATGTGTGTTTCATTTTAAATTGAGTGCATTATATCTTATCCTGTATCATATTTCATTTGTACATAACATCAAAATACGAGTTGTGATATTTTGTTTGGTTTTTATAAAATCATGGATATATTATATTGCTGGTTTGTGCATGCATTTGGTATTTTCGTACACACAAGTTTGTTGAACTGACCAGTTTTGTTCCTAATCTTTCATTCACTTTTGAAACATAACTGTTTTTTCTATAATTTTTGTTTAGACATAATTATGTTTTGACACATAAGAGTACATGAAAATTTAAGCATATGAGATTTTACATATTATTTTTCCTAGGTTATAATGTTCTTAGTAACATTAAAATAAATAAGCTTGAAAGTTTTACAACATGTTACACATTGTTAGATTTCTTTACTTACATCTGATCAATAATACAAAATATTTTGATGACATGTTTCCCATGTGTAGTCAAGTTATGGTTGAAAAATTCTTTTAGAGTTTTCTTGTCAAAGGAACTTAAAGTATATACAATTTTTACTTAACCTGGGACTCTGATATCTGAAAATTTGGAATTTGGTGTAGACAGCAAGCAGTATAGTTTTAATGTAACCCTTTATTCAGTGTTGTCCTTCAGTTTATGCATATCATATAGTTGCCATTATTAGATATGTATATTAAACCTGTAACCTGCTGGAATTGAAAGTGATTGGCCTCAGCCAATAGTATAGAGTCAGGTCAGAGTGATACAAGTACAGTGTGATCAGGTCAGAGTGATACAAGTACAGTCTGATCAGGTCAGAGTGATACAAGTACAGTGTGATCAGGTCAGAGTGACACAAGTACAGTCTGATCAGGTCAGAGTGACACAAGTACAGTCTGATCAGGTCAGAGTGACACAAGTACAGTCTGACCAGGTCAGAGTGACACAAGTACAGTGTGACCAGGCCAGAGTGACACAAGTACAGTCTGATCAGGTCAGAGTGACACAAGTACAGTCTGACCAGGTCAGAGTGACACAAGTACAGTCTGATCAGGTCAGAGTGACACAAGTACAGTCTGACCCGGCCAGAGTGATACAAGTTGAGTCTGACCAGGCCAGAGTGATACAAGTACAGTCTGATCAGACAAAAATGTGATACAAGTGAACACAGAACAGAACAGATCTCTTTATTTCTTTCCCAGGGTACATGGCAATACAACATGGGGATATACTATAAACAGATACAATATGATAAACAAACTTCCGATAGTACTTTATCAGCTGATGAATAGTGTTTTGATTCAAAATAGATTGAAAATTCAGTAACATTTAAAGATAAAGATGTTAATTTTGGGGGAATCCTTCAACTAAGATTTAATATGCACATTATTCATCTGATGATATAGTTCTAATCTATATAATTATTAAGAAAATGTTAATGTGTTCAAATCATTACTATGTTATAAAAATAAAAAATAAATGACCAATATGCTAGTTATCCTATGAAAAAAATAAACATCAAAAAAAGCATTTCAATGTACAGTAATACCTAAACACATATTAAATAATAATACATAAGACAATTGAGTCTGACCAGGCCAGAGTGACACAAGTACAGTCTTACCAGGCCAGAGTGACATAAGATACAAGTACAGTCTGACAAGGCCAGAGTGACACAAGTACAGTCTGACCAGGGCAGAGTGACACAAGTACAGTCTGACCAGGGCAGAGTGACACAAGTAGAGTCTGACCAGGTCAAGAGTGATACAAGTACAGTCTGACCAGGGCAGAGTGACACAAGTACAGTCTGACCAGGGGCATAGTAACACAAGTACAGTCTGACCAGGCCAGATTGACACAAAGTACAGTCTGACCAGGTCAGAGTGACACAAGTACAGTCTGACCAGGGCAGAGTGACACAAGTACAGTCTGACTAGGCTCTATACTGTTGGAAGCTTAATATTTTGTTATTGAAATGCCTTTTAATGTGAGACTGTATCAAATTCAATGCTGGCCATATCTTTATCATAAATTCAGCAAGTTAAGGGGTTAATAGATATATCAGAATATGTTTAGATATGTGAAAAGATTGCACTTGTCTATATTTGGTTATGTTGCTCTGATATTATGACTTGTTTTCAGTTATGATGATGTAGTGGAGCGCTCGTATTGTCTCCAGTGTGCCTCCTGACTATATGTGAATGGAAATATCAGTTTCAGGGAGTGTAGATTCACTCAACATTACCATTGACTACTGTTTGTACATTGTATCCACTGGTTGTCATCGGCAACGCAAATTTCAAGCCAAGCTATAGCTGTTTAGTCTATGTAAATTTGAATGATCTTAGATTTCAATTAAAAACTGAAATGTACATTTATACAAAAATGAAGTTACAGATTGTAAATTGGTTATGTACTTAAATTTATTATGATTTATAATATATATTGTTACAGTATTTCATATCTTATATTTCATTTACAGTATTTTTGTCTATACAGATAAATTTAGAAAAATAATAACAGACTTTAATTAAGTAAAATAATTTAGAATTTCTATATATAAAAAAGGAATGATTGTGATTATTTTCATTTTGTCTTTTTATCAGGCATACTGAATTACATTATTAGAAAATGGCAGCTTTCTTTCTTATATCGATGATCAGGGTTTATACATTCTTTATTATTGATTAACTTTCATATTTTCTCATTATCTATGTGAACCAATTGTTTTCATACATTTAAAATAAAGTAAATTGAACATTTAATGAAAATTCTACATCAATGTTTTGTAAAGTATAAAGCATCTGGTATGTTAATATGTGATTTGATGAAAGTGAATATTGTAAAAGATATTTTTAATGTAAAAAAGAAGACAAATTTTATGAAATTTTTCTTGATCACATGCACACTATAAAACATATTAAATGTATTTAACTTGTCTGTATCAATCATATTTCTGTGTACAATTATAGGGGTCTGATATTTAATTTCCTATTACTTTAATGAAATTTTTACTTGCCAGTATTTTTAACAAGACTTGAAACGAAAGTTCTCTACATTGTTGCTTGTACAGTAAAGAAACAGTTGTTATTTGTAGAATGGAAAATCGCTGTATCTTTCTTTATTAAAATATTCATCTTAGGGAAACATTATACTGTTTGTGAATTCAGCAGTAGCCTGTTAGTTAATGGCTAGTCAAATTTAGGTCAATTAGCAATCAATCATCTTAATCAGGTATTTAATATTATATACTGTAAAATTCTTATTAAACGCTCCCGGGGGCTAAACATTTTCCAAAAGGGGGGCTTTTATTACAACACAGTTTTTCCTAAATCCGAAAATCACTGTATATACATTTAGTGTTAGCAAGTGTTGGTAATAACATTAAAAAGTGCTATGGTTTTAAAGTTCATATTATACATATTTGTGTTTACTATGAAATAAAATGGATTCTGAATGATTTGAATAAAATAATGGCTTTAATTATGAGTTCAGCACTGATGAGTACATTGTTTTCCTTATCAAAAGGCCTGGGGGGCCTTTATTAGGGGAGGGGCATTTATTAGGAATTTTACGGTACCTTGTATGGACATTGACCAATGAATGTGGTTAGCCACAGAGTCTTGAAATAAATTTTTCTACTTTTTCCTAAAATAGCCTTCTTTAGAATATAAGAACATTAGTATGTTTATGCATAGACCTCTAGCATTAGCTATTGGGGTCAAGGGCACTAAGACTTGTAAAATGCTTTTTGACAAATTATTAAGCTAAGTTGCCAACTCAGTATCAGGGAGTATCCAGCCAGTATTCGCTAAACTTCATTCTTAAAATCAACAATAATAACAACTACTGCCTCAATCTATTCTAAGTCTTATAGCTTTATTCATGAGAGTTACAGGCATATGCCACCAGTATTCAGCTAGGTCTGTCTGTACAACAGATTATGATGTGGTGGGCTACCGGGTGTTGGCATAGTTCAATATATAAATATATAATATGGGATGGGTCCATTTTAAATTTTCGAGATATGAACAGGTTTCATTTGTGGTCAGTATATGGCACAGCATTCTTTGTCTTATTCTGGTTGTATATTTGTAAATAATGAAGATAGTACTGTTTTTTGTAAATTTTCATAACACATATTTTGATATACATTTTCTATTACATGTACCAATTATGTTGATTTGATTGTTGTACCATATTATGTTTAGAAAATTGAATAAAATAAATTTCTAATGAAATTTGTGTTAGTTTATGTTATATCAAAATTAAGAAGTTAAGCAATGGGTAATACCTGTAAGCTTACATAGATTGGTCATTTAACCAGAATCAGTGCAGGTTCGACTATGGCATGTGATTTTGTTACTAATCACAAAGAAAAAATAAGCGTTCATCTGCCAATGAATACCACTACAATACTACATGTACAGAGGACTTAAATAGGTGAAGCTGTATTTTTCATACCCCATTCAATAATGGATGAACAGACTGAGAGGCAACTGTAAGGATCTGACATTCTAGCATTATTCTGAAATGTACTTACAACAGAACTTATAATGAAATCCAAGTGACATTGTGAAATCCTATAGCTCCATAATTTGTTGACTTCTACAATAACAAGATTCACTTACCTGATTGATCTGAAGGAACACTGTATTAACACTTATTGACTTTGCAATTTAAGCTGATAGAAATGTTAAACTTACCTTATTGTATAGCAGAAAACTGATTTTCTCTTTACATTTTCTGTGTAGCAGACGTCCAATGCCAGACATCTTTGAAATCTGTCACTTCATATTTTATATTGAAGATTTCTTATTAGTCCCCTACCGGTTTACCGGAGGGGACTTTAGGTTTACCCTCCGTCCGTCCGTCCGTCCGTCAGTCCGTCCGTCCACAAAACTGGATCCCGCGATAACGCAAAAAGTACTGAAAATATTTTAATGAAACTTGATATATGGATAGCTGGCAGTATGGAGATTATGCACGTCTTTTTCTTTTCTTCCTATGTTGAAAATTCTGGTTGCTATGGCAACAAATAGACTGAAAATATGGCAAATTTTACACATAATCTGGATCCCGCGATAACGCAAAAAGTACTGAAAATATTTTTATGAAACTTGATATATGGATAGATGGCAGTATGGAGATAATGCACGTCTTTTTCTTTTCTTCCTATGTTGAAAATTCTGGTTGCTATGGCAACAAATAGACTGAAAATATGGCAAATTTTACACATAACCTGGATCCAGTGATAACACAAAAAGTACTGAAAATATGTTTATGAAACTTGACATATGGGTAGATGGCAGTATGGAAATTATGCACATCCTTTCCTTATCTTCCTATGTTGAAAATTCTGGTTGCTATGGCAACAAATAGACTGAATTTCAAGATTTCTGATTCTAGTTTTTAAGTTTTTTCACTATAAGTTCTTTATTTCTTAAGGTATTTTCTTCAAACTTTAAATATAAGTTGCTTGTCATCAACCACATCATATGTGACAAGGTTTACAACTCTAGCACAAAATTTATCAGAATTACCTCCCTTGAACTTAAAATTTTCATGAAAAAAAACATTTTTTTTAATAACTTCTTTTTCTGAATGTATCTACTTCAAACTTCATATAAATGTTTCTTATTGTCACTCAACATTTGTGAGTGTTTAATACTCTAGCAAGACTATTTCCAGAATTATGCCACTTTTGAACTTAGACTTTTTTTTGAGAAATTGGTAATTTTTACTCCAACTTCTTCAATCATGATAGGATTTTAAAAATGTTATATTTTGATAACAGGGATGTTTAAAAAATAACTTTAGAGTGTCCTTCAGTCTGTCTGTCTGTACATAAAAACTGTTTCCTGTGATCACTTTTAAAGAACTTTTTCAACAAATTTACTTAAAATAGGAACCTTAGTGAATGGCCCTTCAGAATGTTGCTTGGGCTCTTACCGGTAGGGGACTTATGTATTGCTTGCAACACTATGATAATTGCTTGTTGTTAATATCATTTTCAGTCAAATTCAATTCAAGAACGTAATTTATGTAAAGTTTATGATTGATTAAGGTCAGAAATCCTTAAGTATTCACTACATGTTTTTGTATATTAATGATTTTCGTATGTAGATTTTATATGAGATTTCAATATGGCCGCCATTGAAATCCAAGATTTCAGATTCAGAAATCCGGCAGTCTGTCCATTGGAGGATTTCAGGATTTCTGTTGTTTCAGTGGTGGATTTCAAACATCGAACCTTATAAGTCGGAATCCAACCAATGTTGTCACTTCGGTCTTGACCTCCAAGTAATGTAAATAAAGTTTTAAAACCACCAAAGTTCAAATACAGTAAACATTCTTACAAACGACATTGTTATCCAAACTTGTAAGTTGGTATGTATTTATATCCAGTATTATTAACTCACTAGACACTGTTGTTGCCAAAATACTTGTTATAAACTTAGAAAACTATATAAGAATTGTATTTATTTTCCCCATCCTGACATACGTTTACACAACATTAATAAAGGCTTTTTAGCTAGACTATTCAAGGAATAGTGGTGTAATCCTACTCGCTCACATCGCTGGTTAAGTTTTAACCGCAACTACTTTTACAAGATGATTTTGCTTGTAGATTCATACACTTATTTGTACTTATGGTGTAAGGAGATCGATATCCAAGGCCCATAACTAGCATGGATTTTGACAGAATTATGGCCATTTGTGAACTTAAAAAATTCTTTGTTGAAGTTTTGCATGCAACAGCAATCTTTAAAAACTACTGAAGTTGTTCACTTGAATCTTCAAACATGTCTTTGTGATGATAACTGAAGGTCACTGTCAAAGGCCCTTGTCATAAATTTTAAAGTAGATAATTCTAGGGTCATGGTCATTACATTGTCAAGTAATTTTATGCCCCCTAAATAAAATGGCCGGGACATGTAGTGTTACCCTGTTCTGTCGTTCTGTCATCATCAGTTTCTGTTTACTATCTTGGCAACAGACGCACACATCCAACTCAAATTTGACATATGGTTACATCATAGGAATATGCAGGTCAAGTTTGAATTTGGTCATGGTTCTATGACTAGACTTTCATCCCTTGAAGAAATTTTCAGTTTCCGTTCATTATCTTGCCAACCGTTGTAAACATTCAACTCGCCATATTGATATGTTAAAGGAATGCTGCAATCAAATACTTGGTCATAGTATGATGAATTTTGGCAGAGTTATGCCCCTTTAACTTTGAAAAAAATAAGAAATTTTCAGTTTCCATTCATTGTGCATATATATCCAACCCAAAATAATATACATGTATGAATATGTCATAGGAATATGCAGGTCAAGTTCGAATTAGGTCATGGTTCGATGATTTTTGACACTAAAGTTATCCCTCTTGAACTTTGAAAATAAAAAGAAATTTTAGATTTCCGTAGTACACATTCAACTCAAATTTGACATATAGATACATCATAGGAATACTAGTAAGTAGGCCAAGCATAAATTTGGTCATGGTTTTATAATTTTGGACAAAGTTTTCCCTGTTGAATATAAGAAAAAATTTGAAATTTTCAGTTTCCGCATCCTTGTAGAAATGCATCTATAAGGTTGAAATCACATGTGCAGGTATTTAACCAGAAAATACAAGTCCAGTTTGAATATGGTTCCTACTGTCCTGTTAGCTCAATAGGTAACAAATTCGTTGTTGGATGACCCGGATTTGTTTCCCAGACGATGTAGGTCGCTTTCATTGCGATTGATCACCAGATCTTTTCTACAGTCATATGCTGCACTGTACATCTGCTCTGGCATGTACAGAAGTCATCATTTACTTGCAAAAGTCGAGGAAGCTAATATTGGTAAACGGCTTGACAACCTGCCCAGTAAAAATGTGGGTGGTTAAACTGATCTGGTAAAATCAATGTGGCATTCTGCTGTTATCCTGAGGGGTAAACTACCAACACCACCACCACATCATTTCTATTCCTGATTTTGAATAATCCCCCTTATTTAATTTCCAAATATTTTATGTCCAAAGCATAACTCCTAAATGATTCAAGAGATAGATTTGAAAATTAAACATAATTACATTGTACATGTAGATGACAAGAGGAAAAGTGCAGACACCAAGAGTCATAACAGTTTACAGTAGAGCCATTTTTAAGCCATCTATAATTACTTCAACCAGCAGTCTCAATAGGAAAATGCTCCCTCACATATACCTTTTCCTTATACAAACAAGCACATGTGTAGAATATGACCATGACAATATAGCTCTTGTTATTGGTTGTTTTATTTTTCAACACTAAACTTTATAAGAATGATCTAGGAGGAAAAAAGGAAACAGACATTAAAATAGAATTTGTAACATTTTATTTTGCCACATATAAGCACAAGGATAATATAATCATCTTTGCACATGTACAAAAAAAAACAAAGCAACAATTTCTTGGCAAAAATTAGAAAATACATGAACATACGAAAGCAAAAAAATCAATATCACAGGTTATAAACTAGTTTAAAGGTCGAAAACTAGTTCAAAATGAAATATCAATCTGTTTTATAACAAACAAAAGACTTAAACACTACAAGATTCTAACTCTTCCATAATATGATAAAGTTAATGTATTTAACTACACAAAACAGGATATGCTTACGAGGAATTCGGATATAAATAAAAACGTTAACAAATATTGTTTTAAACAAAATGCTTCAAATTGGTCGAATCATTTGGTAACAAAAGATTTTTTTCTTTGAACAATAAGAACGCACTGATAAATTATAGACATGTATCATCGGCAAATGATCAATATAGTTAATAAATCTCTTTTTGTTTTAACAAAATGCCCAAATCATTTAAAAACAAAATTACACAAACACAAAAAATTTTAAGGTACTTTTCTTTATCTTAAAAAGTAGCACATGTTTTTTTACGTAAAATAAATCTGCAAATTCCTCAATAATAATATTTAAAAAGTTTAAAAAAAAAAGAGAGACTGACAAAAAAAATCATTCTTGGATAATAAATAGAATATCAAGCCTAATTATCAACGTTTCTCTAAAATATCTATAGAATAATAATAAACCAGCACTACTTTAGAAATAATGTATAGAAATAAAATCGTGTAAGAGAAGAAATTCATAACAATGTTATATATATATCACAGAAATGAGAGTGCAACAAGGTCGTGTTGACATACAATATCTTTTTCCAAATGTATCTAGCACATAACATTAGTGTTCAGTTACATTACATGTATATACCTTATACACAAACTAAAATGTGCTCTTTTTCTTTTTTAAATGAATAATGCCTCCATATCCCTTCATATACATATACATGTATAATGAGATTGATTTGTGTAACTAGAAAATTAAACAGTAATCGAACTAGAAAATCAAACAATCAATAAAAAGACTATTACTTTATGACTGCAAAAAAAAATTACTCTTAAATTATAAATATGTGGAGAGAAAATATTTGAAGCGGAAAATGGACAAACTGGAAATAAAACAGAATGAACTCCCTAGTCTAAACACATATAATGGAATGTAATATCCTGTAATACACATTTATTCACTATAATGAACATGTGGGGGAAAAAAAGGTGTTTTAAGTAAGCAAAATTTTATTTCATGATAAAACAACATGACCCTGTTTTAAGACGTACTAACATTGATGAACAAACTTTCAATTTACATACACATCTAAATATTGAAATTGAATTAAAATGTGTTCTCCTTATTAAGCATTGTCTGATTCTAGGACAAAAAAATCCATATTGTTCACGATGCCATAACAAATGAAATACTATAGTCTAATACACTGAAGAAAATTGGTGCTTGTTTCCAAAGTACATAGAAAAATTTCAATGATTTTGTGACTTTTGCACAAAAATCATGGTTGATAATGAAAATACACTACAATGTTACTTTGTGAAATGAATGACTGAATGTAAATAAATAATACATTTTCCATTTATTCTTCAGACAAATCATTTACTTCCATTGCAGTAGTTGGTCTTTAAAGGTTTCAAATTGACCTTTTTATTCCCCTATAACTGAACTAGTTCATGATTTCACAACAAATTGTTCATTTTTAATGTTCTTCTATAAAAAGAATAGTATCACCAACTTGTTCTTTTTTACTTATGTCAAAAAAAATGCCACTTATATACTTATTACTTGAATACTTATTGTAAACTTATCCAATTACTCATCTTTTGAAAAGTATTAAGACAGCCAGTGGCTTATATTAATTAAGAGTGGAAAATTATAAAACTAATAAGGTATAAACAACAAAAGGTTCAGGCACAGTCATCACTATAATTATATATGATTGCATTGATTTTACTTCTTGTAAAAGTAGCTAAAGATAAATAAATCACATTTGGTATTATATTCCATACAAGAAAATACTCTAAACTCTTTCTTGCTCAAAAGAGAAATAGGTTATTCTTAAGGATCTTGTAATTACTGCTTTTTCCGCTAAAATAACAAAGACTTAACATGGTTACCATTTAGTAACAAGAATCAAATTGGCATATACAACAATTATTTTCTGTACCCATTTAAGAAAAAAATACAAACTGGCAAGTAAATATGGGCAATGAAGGTTCATTAAAATAATAATATTTAAATTTATGCCCTATGTATTTTGACATATTTGTTCCATTAAGAAAAGTAATTTTCAGTATATCAAGTAAAACAGTTATCACAATGTAAGGGCAGTTTGTTTGGTTATACACAACAATGTTATAACCTTACCCAACTTGCCACTTGTCCTGCCTTGACTAAAGAATTGCCCATTGTTAAGTGTGAGGAATTATTATAATAAAATTTAAAATATTAGGCAGTTAAGTCTGGCATAGGCAAGTCACTACGGCTGCAAGCAGCCAAAGGGCTTATAGAGCTTGTTGTAACAGTTGAACCATAACAAACCCGTCAGTATGTCCATTATACTTGATATCAATTATATTTCATTTTACATCATTTCGTCATTTATTTAGTCATTAATAATACTCTGAGTGACTAAGCTCTTCACAATCTGATTCTACTGAGGCTGTTTCTGACTGTTTCCACACATCATCACGCGGTGTTTCTATTGGCTGAAATCCTGCAAGCTCGTTCTTGATTCGCTCAATTTCTTGCATGTACTCGTGTTTCTCTCGGCTGGTATCGGGACTGCCATCATCATCAGGGAATAGAACTTTGTTCATTACTGAAAATAGGATAATTCCATCATCATCATTATCCTCATTGTCAAAAAAAATAATCAAGTAAAGATACCTATATCACTACTGTAAAATTGTTCTATCATTATCAAGTTAATAATCCAATCATCATCAGGGAATGATATTTTATTCATCAATATAAAACCATCAAAACTCGAGTCATCTCCATCTTTTTTACATAATTATTACTAAAGAAACACAATATTTCCAAAAGTCATTACAACAAAACAATACTGTAGACATTACTTCAACAACCATCATTTTTATTTTGATATTTTAAGACTGATAAAAGAAGGACTTGGAACAAATTTATTGTTCTTCAAGTTTTTGCTAAAACGCCTTACAATAAAGTTTATTTCATCATTCCTTACTTCTACTTTTTTATGTCTATCTTATTCAATAACCTTTTCAGCTTTGAGATTAATAATATTCAATTAACACCTTGGAAGCACAGGTTTGAATAATTACAATGTTGACTTACTTTTAAGATGTTGTTCTAGTTTACGTAGATTTTTGAGAACACCGGCAAGTTCCTGATTGGCTGACTTGTAAGCAGGAATCTCGCTAACAGCAGACTGGTTCTCCAACTCGTCTAGTGGAGAATCTAAACCATTCTCTATTACGTCTGAATCCCTGTAAATATAATTAACATATATTACAAATATATCAATCAAGTATACAGGCATATTTAAATAAGCAATGTATATGATATTGTAAACGAGTAACTATAATTGTATAATTAAAATTGTGTGTAACTTGCACTATTTAGCATAGTCACACTGAAGATAATGACTTTCAAGATTTACTTGTGCACGGAGGTGTGACACCAGGAGACATATCAATTAAATCAACTACTAATTGGACATACATGTTTCATTAAAACAGTGAATATTCCCATCAATCATATTAACTCATCATATTTAAAAAAAAAATCTTTCTATTGTTATATCTGAGGTAAAAAGTATTCATAAAATATTTTGTTGACAAGTTTAATCAGTAGTTAAACTACCTGTATGTATATGAAACTATTCATTTGAGATGAATAACAACTGTCAAATACAATGACACAATTTTGGGTGAAAGACTTCTATGGAATGTTTTTTTTTTTCCTTTTCCTTCTCACACAGTATAATTTTTTATAATGAATGGTAATTAACTTGGTGACTGTGACTCGGTAGTTTAAACTAGGGGTATAAATATTTCTTACTTTAAACTACGGGAATAAATCTATCTGTATTTTGGTAGGGTTATTATAATTATCCTATTACAGGAAAGAATGTGAAAGATTTTTCAGAGTACAATAAGAAGAGGGATTTATCACATATATCCCTCTATGTGATAGATCTCAATTGACATTAGTTTGAAGAATGTCAGGATTGTCTATAGAAACAGATACTTTTATATTTATAAAAGGATTTTTTTTACAATCTTTCTTTTATGTGGGATTGAATTAGGTTTAGTTACATAAAGTAATAGAAATGATAATACATAAGAGTTGAAAATACAAATGTACATAATACTATTTTGACGGGTTTAGCTCCTTATATCTACATGTTTATACCCCCAATAAAATGCTTTTAGCACAATTTTTAAGGGTGTTTTCAATGAAAAGAAAATGATAAAATTTGGAATCTTCTGTCTGTTCTCATAACAGTAAATGTATAAACTGTCCTTTCTTTTTCATTTTTCTTTGTATTATCAACTTATAACAAATATCACTTATAAATGTATTTTGTGAACACATTGAACAGTGGCCTCTTTAGATCTGCAACTTTGTGACTTCCATGTGGAGAAGTTGGCATTAACTTGCAGAATGCAGAAATTTTCTTTATATAACTAATAACGAGGGTAACAAAACAACAAATTAAACTCTGATACAAATGGCTATTTAAATATGAACAGAACTGATGGCCTATTTTTTTAGTTGAGCTGTACATTTAGTATATTAAGAGGTGACAAAGTCTAAATTCCTGTAAAAGCCACATTAAAAGGTTGACCTCAATATATCCTATTCAGATGATAGAGTAGTTAAGATCTGTAAGCCTATTTTATTTCAGATACATGATACCCTACATTGTGATTACATCAGGACATATCATAATCAATCTTCAAATGTTGGCACACATTCTGTTACATTATATCAGTAAACAACTGTTATAAAGATAAAAGCACTATAGTCTAAGGTCTATATTACATTGTTTGCCTGTTTGTTTTTCTGTTGTTGTTTTTTTAATGCTGATTTTAATACCTTTTTGGTCACATCTCGGTAGTCAATGCACCTATATATATAACCAGCTTTCCTGGATAACTAACCAGTAATTACAAATTTTCTCCGCAAGTGACTGAGTACTAATCCCACATGATTTCTGATTCAGCAAAGGGAGACAAATGACCATTAGACTCAATGTCCGAGACCAATTTTCATGGAGTAATTTCACTTTGCCAGAGGATTGAACCATCAACCCCTGGATTACTTTAATCTGATGCTCTCTCTGCTGAGCTAAGCAGGTGAACTTCTACCTTACACAAAGCCAAGAAAACTTTTATCTTACTAATTTTATATCATGGAACAGAAAATTTCTGCATTCTGCAAGTTAATGCCAACTTTTCCACATGGAATCCACAAAGTTGCAGATCTAGAGTAGAGAGGCCACTGTTTAATGTGTTCACAGAAGACTTTGAATTCAGAACTACCCTGGTAAGGAAGTTCAATATGAAAATGTTAAATGTCAGCAGCCTACCTTTCAGGGAGCTCAGAAAAATAAAAGAGTATAGATACCTGAGTTTGTCCATGGTTTTATCAGTCTGTGATTTCAGTTTCTGTGACAGCTGGTAGATGGAGGACACAATAAGGGTATCATACGACTGGAAAATACAACAACAACAACAATGTTTAAATTCTTACAAAAACACTATCAAATTACTAGAATATAATATAACCACATAATATACATGCTATTTTGGAGTAAACATTACAGTTCATAAATGACAAACATTATGGAACATTAAGTGAGCACTTGTGGTAACCTATGGTGAGCAACAATAGGACATAGAATAAGCTCCACTGGATGCTTGGTGTGTACGAAGATACCAATGGATACCTTGAATTAATACCACTAACTGCAGTGAGCATATATTGATATCAAGAGTGCAAACCACTAGTTAAATGGAAAACATATCCTTGATGACAAACCACACAATTTAGTCTGGTTAACTAAAATGCATATCCACAGTGAACACCACTGGTTAACCAAGATAATACTGGATACCTGCAGAACACAGCTGTGAATATCACTTTTTAACAAGAACTATTGCCACTTCATATCTGACAGGATGCCACTGGTTAACTTAAGTGAATAACTAAAGTAAAACACCTCTTGATATCTATAGAACACAAATACATGTTTAGAGAAAATACCAATGCCTTTGAAAACTACTTAATTAAAACACTGTTACTATGAACAATCATAATGTTACTCACAACTCATTACAGCAATATTCTTTACTAATAAAGTAATTCACTTTATGGTTTTAGTACAGTTTGGAAAGAAAAGATTTATACATTCTGTTTAATAAATACAAAAACACTGTTCTTAGCTTTTGACATTAAGTCTTCATGAAATGACGAAAATAAAAGAGGAACAATTTTTCAAATATTATGCTAACTACATGTATATACATCGTACAATGAGTTCTTCTTGCTTTTTATAACAGAAACTGAGTCATTACATATTCTAATATATTTAAACTAATATTTTACAATATATACTGATCTAGCTAACATAATATGCTACTGAAACTAAAGACAATCATTATTTATTATCTTGAAAAGTTGCAGATGAAGGTAAGATCAGTCTATTTCATGCCAACTATAAAATACTCTTCTCTCATTGGATGTTTTTGAGGTCACATGATGACATAATATAACATTCAGCAAGGAATAATTTCAAAATTAGTACCAGAATGTTGATTCAACAGTGAATACATAGTTTGTCCTTGCTAAATAAAGATGAGGAATGTAGTCAGCATGACATTTGACAGATCTACTCTGACCTTTGATTTAAATAACAATAGATTTAACCACAAACAATGACGTGCTCTTTTGTTAAAAATATGCTGTGGTGAACCAGTATTCTGATAATTTGAATGGATTTGTGCAATTTCTTACTGACCTGCAAAACGATTATTCTGTTCTGTGGAAAACCATATTGAGAAGTCCCGATATGGTTTTTTAGTAACTCATTCTATAACAATTAATTTTGTGATAAAATATGTAGAATCTCTAGCTAATATTTGAAAGTATGAAGTACATGTACAAAATGTATATTTATACAGGTTTCTACAAAATGAGCTACAAATAGACATTAAAATTTTTAAAAAATTGTTTAGATTTAGTTGGTTTATTTAGTTTTATTTCATTCTGAGTACAATGCACAACATAAAGGAAAGCATAACAATTTTAGTAAATAGATGTGAGTGAAGACAATATAAACTGTACAATTAATCTCTGAATATATATAAAAAGAAATCCCAAAGTCAGACATTTACATGTATATGTATACATGTTCATAATTATTTATTTTTATTCAATCATACAGTTATGTGCCAAATATGAACTCCAACAATAATTTTTTATACAAACTTTAATCAAAAGCATGCAATTCAAGTTTCACCTCATATGTAGGACTTGGGTAAAGTTAATATTAAAAATTTTATGCTTATTTTATAAAAGAAAAAAATAGGACTTGGGTAGAGTTGATAATTAAAAATTTTATGTTTATTTTATAAAAGAAAAAAAATCTAAAAAAAAGTATATCTTTTACATGTATATATCATTCATGTTGAAATTTTCTGGAAGTGCAATAAGTAAACATAAGATTGGCACATGACTTAATACTGAAACAGATAAATAACATGTGTACATTATTAATTTCTTATCTGATTATGCTAACATGAAATAAAGTCCATGTTGAGATTACAAGATTGCAAAGAGCTATGTTTTTGCCATGAATTTGACTTCATCAGTCAAAATTACATAAGCCATTCATCAAAAGCAATACATTACAATTATGATGTATATTCTGTAATTAGAGGCTTTATAAAGAGTGACAGAAACAAAGATAGACAAGAAGCAGAAATCTAACAAGGTTAATGAAGCTATATGATACATCATGCAGTCTTCAAGCAAATCCTACAAAAGTTTTCTTGTGATCTAAAAGTTTTTATTTTTCTGGTTTAATAATATCACGTGCACACATATATATGTACAGTTCTATATGTGAACAAACCTCTGGAATTCTAGGAGTTGTTTCTACTTTAGCAGTGTTTTTATGTCCGAGCGCGTTCTCATGAAGCTTCAGACTGTCTACGGACCTTCGTTCAGTTGCCATGGTTACACTGGTAGGTGGGGTGGGGGAGGGAGTTTTGAGTGCAATTTTAGCTCTACTACTCCTGGTTGAGCTACGTGATCTGGGGGCAGGTTTATATACAGACAGAGGAAGAGGATTCCTTGGGGGCGGGGTGAAAGCAGAATAATTGGAGGGATGTGTTGTGGACCGGTTGTGTCGAGATTTCGAAATTGCCTAAAAATAACAGTATGCATTTGAGAACCTGATTGCACTAATAACTTATGCCAAGGCACTTTGACTTTAAACAGATCCAATAATCACATAATTGCTTATTCATAAAATGAAAATTATAACTTTTTCTGCATAATTAAATGATATAATATTGCACAAAAGCCTTTAGAATTTATTTATTTATCAGATTCAATATATAAGAATCATTGGATCAGTTTTCAGCAAAGTCACATGATAACTTTGTGCAAAACCTTTCATGCATTGAAAAAAACATTTGTAATATAAATAACTGGTTTTCTAAAGCCATGCAATAGAAAACTATATAGAGACTTGAGTCAGTCTGATACAAGAATGTCTAATGTTTTTTACCATAAAATACCTCTAACAGACAACTCAGTCTCTTGAACTACATGTATATTCAGAATTGAAATATTGAAAAGTAAATACCATAAAAGCCATGCAATATCTAGTTACAACCTGTACAGTATATAACTGTAAAATGAATCAGAAAAATAAACTTAATCTAAAAGAACTATTGATAACAATGTTAACTTCTCATGCACAACATAATTATATGTAGAGTTTATACTTTTACAAAGTGTAACCATGCAAAAAAGGGGATAAAATGGTTTCGAGAATATTTTCATATAAAGGTCTGGAATATAGAAGAATGTATGAAGATTAGACTGTACCTGAGTTGACTGTGTTGATGATGATCTCACTGACCTATCAAAGTCATCATCATCTGCACTACTATTGCTGACCTTGCTGGACAATAAAGATCTCGCACTGTATGGCACAAATCCCCGTCGAGGTCCGTCATCAAACACGTCACTAGTCGCACTACTCCGTCTACTGTAATCATCCGTACTAGAAGTCGAATCACACTGGTATGAACTTAATTTCAAATCCTTGGAATTAGTAAAAGATGCAGATCTTGTCACTCCACGTGCTTTGTTATATATTTCAGAGCCATCAGATTTACGTTTTGTGTCTTTATGTTTAGTTTTAGCATCAGCAACAGCCTTACGCGGATCATATTCCTTCCTTCTTTTCCAGGCATTTCTTTCTGCGGATTTTGGTGAGTTATTTCTATGGCCTGGCCTTGTTACAGAGCCGGACCTTTCTTTTGCACTAACACCTGTTACACGTAAACTTTTAGAATGGTGTAGGGCAGAGGAGCCTTCACTTTTCCTAGACTTCCCTGGAGTGGTTTGTTGAACTGGAATGGACATAGACCGAGCAACACGTAAACTGTGTCTTCCTCCATCTTCCCGAGCGAAACTGTTATTCAAGTTTTCACGACTTTTCTGAACAATTTTAGTCCCTAGACTAGCATGGCTCCTTGAAGAATCAGGAGGAGCTTGTCTATCAGATAAAACACCAGACATTGGGCGTCTGGGTTTCTGTGGAGTACTTGATTTAGTTAAGTTTGTCATACTTCCACCACCGCGCGGAGTTCTGAACCCAGACGAGGCAATTGAAACTGTTGAAGCTGTAGACCTTGAAGAGTCTTGTGATTCATCACCATCTGCCCTTGCTCTACGTAGAGCAAAAGCTCGATTTGGTCTTGTCATTGACATTGTACCCTTACCCTTTGACCCTTGTCTATTAAACTGACCAGCTTCAGATTCTAGGTCCTCAGTCCTTATTGTTAAATCACCATTTACATCACTGAAAGTATCTGACACAACAGTTTTTTCTTCAACTGAATGTTTTCTTTCCTTTTCATGCCCAACAGTTCTTGATTTAGCACCACTCATTTTAACAGAAGGTTTAGATGGCAATGACTCTGATAATTTTAGTTTAGACTTATTCCCTAACACTTCTCTCGGGCTTTTATATAAAGATGGCTTCACAAAATCTTCATCTCCATTCACTAAAGCTACAACACTAGAAGTATCTGATTCAAAATCCACACTGTCATCAATAATTAAACTTTCATTTCTATCAACACTATATCTTACAGTCGATTGAGTGTATGAATTTTCATCACTTAATCCATTTTCCGTTTCTTGAAAAAAGTTTTTTGTTTCAAATTCATTTAAATCTGACAATTGACTGGTTTGAGGTTTTGAGCCCATTCTTTCTTCCATGGCAGTCATGACTGTTTGTGTGTCTCTAAGCAACACTTCAGTGTCAAGACTAGCCACGCTACCATTTCTGCTATAGTTACTACGACTACTCATGTCTGCTGTATTTTCAACCTCACTACCGTATTTAGTCAATGAAATAGATTCAGAGTCTGTGTCCTCATACCTTGCAGATACACGACTAGATATTTTCACAGCACGTTGTGGTGGAGACTGCAAGACTGACGCAGTGCCATTTATTGTGAGATCAGACTTTGAAGACATGGGGCTCTCCTTTGTTATACTTCTATCACTTGGTGTTGGACTAGAAGCTTCAGGTGGAATGGTGGGAAGTTTACGTCCGGTGCCAGGACGTTTACGACTTATTCCATTGTGTGCCCGTCCTGATGATTTGCTATCTGTATAAGAAAAAGTATAATTTCTTTATTACATATCTAAATCACTGCCCCTCACTGTCTATAAATCAAAACTGTTTGTTAAAATAATTACCATTTATTTTAGTACTTTAATAATTTAATAAATGTAGATGTATGTAACTGAATTATGACTCTTTATTCACCATCTCTATAAATTTCATTTTTTAATGATTCTATAACCTATCTTCGTAAATTCCATTCTACATACAAAAATAAAATAACAATCTTTTCTATCAAATCTCCTATTAATTCTGTTTAAAATACCTCTTCACATTTCATAAACTTAAGTTTTTCAAATTTTTAAGAAGAAACATAAATATTCCAACCAGATTATACCGGTAGATTCACATATTCACTACACAGTAAAACAACCTAATTCAGTTCACAAGCCTAGTAAACTCCTCTGATAAAAACCGGTGTAGTCTTTTATTATCAGAAGTCGACATAAAAACCTTTAGCATAAACATTTAACTACACAATCTAAAAATTTTAACATAAATCAGTTTGCTTTACTGCTGCCAAGATTCAATGATATATGAATAATATACAATTGGCAGGCGTGCGTCCATTTATATATTGTTTATATTCACATTTCCTTTGTTTTTATTTTGGTAATCTCCAACCTAAGTATTGTTGTCCATGTTCTCCTATTACAGACTGTTAACGAGGTGCTTTCGTTCAATTTTAATAATAACAAATCACTAGCGCTCAATTTCATAAGTAACACTGCACAAAGAAATCAACTGAAATTCCTTATAAACTGACATGCATTTAAATGACATATCCCCATTGTTTTACATGTGAAATGAAGTGATTACAGTTTTATGACTGTTTAAAAGGCAATTATACATATTTTGATCAATCAAAATCATTAATTAGAAGGAGATGGTGTTATGTATATAATTTTACCACATGATGTCACATATTTTCAATGTAATGCATTCATTATGTATTTCCTTATTTAACACATGTAAAATAATTTTAAGTTCACAAGATCTCATTTGGCATCCTAAAATAGAACATCACAAATTGTTTTTGGTATTTTTCTACTTTTTAATTCATTAATATATTGTTTTCTTGAGTTACTTTTTACACTATCCCAACACTGTGTCAACTCCCTGTGCATTTTTTAGCATAAGATATAATAAACTGAAAAGAATCTTTCATATGTTATTTTTATTTCATATAGCCATTATCAAATTTGTCCCAGATAAGTGAGAAAAAATGTCACCTGCTCACTTTATAATGCTTTCCCTGGTTCTTTCAATAAAAGTCAAATTGTAATGACTACTCATGTACAATCATATGAATAATTTTCATAATTTTTCATTTATTTCAAGGTATTGTTTTGTACCATAATAAGTCAAATTCTGGTCCTGATCTGCCCATAATTATATGTGTCCTAATCTTCCTATTTAATGCCCTCATCTGCCTAACTTGGGTCCTTCCTAACTTGGATTTTATTCAGCCTCATCTGTTTTTGGATTCCTATCAACCTAATTTGGGTCCTCATCTATCTGATTTATATCCTGAACTGCCTACTAAGCTTCCTAATATCCCTAGTTTATTTTCCTTAGTCCTAATGTGGGTCCTAATCTATCTGATTTACTAGTATATCCTGAACTGCCTACTTAGCTTCCTAATATCCCTAGTTTATTTTCCTTAGTCCTAATGTGTCTTGTTTCCTTTTTTTTTAATAAATAGAGGATATTCAAGTTTTTTCTATAAATACATGATTTATTCTCATCGAGTGGTATGAAAATAAATATTCATGAGTGGCGGTAGCCACGAGTGAAATATGATAATTTTCATGCCACAAGATAAAAATAAATCATGTATTTATAGAAAAAACTTGAATTTTCTGTTTATTATATACATATTTCTCTTTTTTTGCGATAATTTTGAAAGACTTTCCCTTTAATTTTGTGTACTGGCAGAATTTAAAAGAAAGTAGTCCCGCAAGACACCAGTGAAAATACGGAAAATATGTTTCACTGCAGTGAAAAATAAATTTTTACAGTGAAAATACGGAAAATAAAAATACACATTTTATTTCATCAATATTTCTCAATATTTCATTTATAAGTATATAATAAAACCATATACCATAATTCAGGTGACCTGGTTCCACAATGTACACAATTGAATAAAACAATACACTTTTAAATTTAAACTGGAGTTGACTTACAAATACAAATATTAAAATTTAGAATAGCCTGTGACTGAATATTGTCAATACACCTTGGCATATGAGCAGTGCAGACCAAGATCAGCAATCAACTCCACTCCACCTGATCATGGTCGGCACTTGGCTATTTTATGTTTAAATTTTCCCTAAAAATGATAAATGGTTTTGTCCAGATTGAAAGATGGACAAGTCCATTTAAGATATTAAGTATAGCAAGAGAATAATTAATGCAAAGTAAAGAACATACCTGAATAACATGTACATACAATTATAACTAAACAAGCCTATATTTTTCTTGAAACTGAAAAATTATTAATGTTAACAGTTTTCTGTTGTCATGGTGTCACAATATAAGTAGATGGTAAATGTCAACACATAAATTAACACATGTTTTTCTTCTTGTTTTTAATATTGTATCTTTATCAACTAAAATAAACTGTGAATAAATGAAGAAACCTGACACTGGTCACAGTTTTTGTTAATGTCACTCTATCACTGTACCTATTTAATGTTTAAATGTCATGATAAGATGATATAAAAGTATCATTTTGCAATAATAAAATATAAAAAAACAATCCTGTACCAAACAGGAGCCAATGAATAAAAGGTCAGGTCATACTAGTGATTCAATATTTTAAAGTTTGTGTCGCATAACATGCAGAATTCACAAATTTTTTTTCTACTAAATTGTTTTTTTCAAATGCAAGCTTTATTTGTGAATGGACCAGAATAAAATTAACTTAATTTATTTAAAGCCAGAAAATCACATGAAGTTGTCATGAGGTAAAACTGATTATTTGGCTAAATATTGTGAACTGATTTTAAAGCTTAGGATTGTAAACTGAATTTAAAGGTTTAGATTGTAAACTGACTTTAAAGGTTAGATTTGTAAACTGATTTTAAAGTTTTGGATTGTAAACTGATTCTAAAGCTTTGGAGTGTAAACTGATTAAAAGCTTTGGATTGTAAACTGACTTTAAAGCTTTGGATTTGTAAACTGATTTTAAAGCTTTACATTGTAAACTGACTTTAAAGCTTAGATTTGTAAACTGATTTTAAAGCTTTGGATTGTAAACTGATTTTAAAGTTTTGGATTGTAAACTGATTTTAAAGCTTTGGATTGTAAACTGATTTTAAAGCTTTGGATTGTTAACTGACTTTAAAGCTTAGATTTGTAAACTGATTTTGATGCTTAAAATTATAAGTGATTTTAAAACTTAAGATTGTAAACTGATTTTCAAGGGTTGTTAACATAATTTAAAGCTATGGATTACAAAATCATTTTTAAGCTTAGGATACATAATTTTTTTTTTCATCATTATTTCTATCAGACATACGATGAAATTGAATTAGTGTCCCGGTTTCATATTACAAATATTTTCTAATTTGTTATTCATAATTTATCAAAGTCTTACCATCTGATATAGAAGAGCCTGGACTTGACAGGTCCATGTCTGATTTATTTTGGGATTTCTGATTAGTCAATGCTGCCCACTGACTCACCCACTTTGGTGCATCACCTGGCACTGTTGGATTCTCCTGAAAATATAAATATATACATACATTTACTTTTATATCATAGAAATAAATCTTGAAGCCAAACATGAAGTAAGAAATATAACATGAATTCAACACCTGCAACTGTAGAGTTCAAACTATAAGTCTTCTTATTTTCCTATAGAAGACTTATGGCCCCTATGATATCTGTAAGAAAACAGATTATCAATAATTGTTAAGTTTGTTGTTTAATAATTATGACATCTCTTATTGCAACTTTTCTCTCATGTTCAATGTAATCGAAAATCAGTTAAACATTCTCTTTGCAAGTAAAAGAACTGAAAACCTTTTACCTTTAAATGACACAAAATTAAAACACTGTCATTTTATCATACTTCTTAAAAGGCATTATTATGTAACTAGTCCAATATCAAAAAGCACTCTTTATAATAATCATTTAATACTGAAAAAATCATTTCACCTCTTTCATTGCTTAAATAATCTCCAATGCATAATTACACATTTTTTACAAAAAATTCTTAATTGCACTATAACTTCATCTACAAAATGTTTCCAACTGATACAAATAACATGAAGCTTGTGTATAACATATTTCCATATTTTAATCAATTTAGTAATTTCAACCATTTTTATAAACAAGTATCTTAATTTAATATTTACCAATTCAATGATTTTATGTATCAGGTGGCACTAGTATTGTCTACAATCAACAATGTATGACAGACAATTTACAATAATAATATTTAATTTACCAGATCCTACACGCTTTGACTATACGGACTGATAATAATAACTCTAGGAAAAGCATGGATCGTTAACGGATATCTGAATCCTATAATGTTAGAATATATACCTTTTGAATAATCACCAGAATGCTTGAATGATACTGTATAATATAGTATCATGATATGTTTAATCTCCATGAGATCAAATCTCTAATCTCCAGATCCCAGATTAACTTCCCCCCACTTCGGATAGACAAATATTAAATAAGATAGAGATTATTTCTTCCATGTCACTGCCTTATTTATATACATGTACTAATCCTTTAACCAGCTTATATATGAACCACAAAAGGAACTTAGAATAATAATGTTCAAGGACTTAATTAGAAGTTCCTGCAATGGAATGTAATTAATTTACAAGGCAGGAAAAACTTGTTAAAAATTTCCTATATTAAAATACTGCATGACCATTTCTTTTGTCAAGTTTCTTTAAATATAACATCAATTTTGTAATAAGAAATTCAAATATCAACAGTCTACATTCTTAACTACATGATAAACAGTGGCTTTATTTTCATTGTGATATAAAAATAGTCCAAAATAATTGTTATAATTAACATTGCTGCTCAAGAAAATAAATGTTATCTTAATTTTGTTCTTTACTTGACCTTTCCTTGTTAACCCATTACTTCATGAGCATTTTGTGAAAAATGGCTGTTTTCATTGAAAAGTCTCCCGTTACAAGTTCAAATTGCTATAATACTATAAAAACTGCTTCAACACTAATCAAACTTGGCACAAATGTTGACTGGACCATTGCCCTTGCAACAACATACTCAGGCTTAAATTTTCTGTTACCATGGCAACGAGGGGACATCTCAAAATTGCCAAAAATCACTATTTTGCGTTGATTTTTTCAATCAAAATTGATTTCAAATTGCTGCAACTTCTCAATGGATTGAGATAGAGTCAAATGCTTTTCAGCGTTGGTTACACGTTACCTTATGATCAATCTGGGGTCATTTACAGCCTCTCACAAGTCCAAAATTTTCTTGGCGATGAGGGGGACTCCGCCCCCTTCAAACCCCCCAAACAGAAGGGGGCACATCCCCCTTCTGGCAACCCCCTGATGTATCTTTTGGTTGGGGGGCCGCGCCGAAAAAGAGGTCACTTTTTTTAACAACATTTCTCAAACAAAAACAAGTGTTTGGGGCCTAAATAAGGCATTTTTTTCATCATTTGAGACAACAAAAAGGGGAGGGGTGAAAAAGGCGTTAAAAGGCGTGTATATGAAGTAATGGGTTAAGAAACACAAAGTTTTATGCAATTTTCAAATTGCATTTTCTTATCTAACTTTCAATAAATTATTCTTCCCAAACAAGATAGCAATTTAATACAAAGGACGAGACATTTAATGAAAATAGATTTTCCTCAAATATTTGCCATCTTTGTGATAAAATATGGAAAAAAAACATGTATGCTGTTATCTTATTACAGTATCTTATAAGTAAATTTAACACTTACACGATGATTATGATAATTCCATGCAACTCTGACATCCATTCTTATTGAACCTTTTCAAATATATTCCAATTATTTATATCTTCTTGTCATTTTTTTTATATCCAAATAAAGATAGACCCTGTATTTTTCACCCTGCTTTATGCTAAGTATTCGCTCCTATGGAAAAATATTTCGTAGTGACTGTCTCTGTTATTAAAAATATTTTTCTTCAAAATTTTCATAAGCAATTACACTTTGTATAAATAGTTTCGCTAACGTTCAGTAAATAGGCACTTCAACCAATACCATGTAGTACTTCGGGCCTAAAGAACTTAAAATTCTAATCCAGTATATATTATATAGGTTGAATGTGCATTTATAATTTGAAAATGGATTGAAGTATTTTACTGTATAGGGTATAAATTGTAAAGGGAACAAGAACATGTTTGCTCGCGCCAAACGAGACTGAAATAACCACTAACAAAAGCTCTTTACAAATCATGTGTATTTTCTCATGTACTTTAAGGCAGTTTTCTTCACACAGGTGTGAAATACACATTTTGTAAAAATTAATTTTCTTTATTACATCTACATATTCTTTTAAATGCATTCAAGCAATTCTTATTGCATTTGAAAATATTAAAACAAAATTGTTAACAAACAAATTGAAATTGTCATACAAAGTGAATGAAAGAGAAAACAATTTATATTTCAACTTTAACGGACTAGAATTTTATTCATTATACATCACATTGCCTTTGGCATACAATATGACAAAATTTGCACACATTACATCTTAAATAACTTGTTTTACATAAGACATAGGTGTTAACTTAATTTGACAGTCTTTAAAGTCTGTAGTAATTTACTAATGTATGAATAAATAACAAATTTATGTTCTTATTCTGTAAATTAATGTAACACATGATTATATTACTGGTATCATTTCTAATACAAATTATATGCATGTGACACAATAAAGTAATTGTAATAATTACATGTATAACTGTTGGTGATGACTTCTATTTGTCTTATTACAATAATTCAAAATGAAAATCTAAAATGAAATGATCAGGTATTTTTATCATTTCAATAACCATACAATCTAACTATAATTTAAGTCCCTCATAATGATTCATCCCCATTTTTTTATTTCCAGAGATATTTGAATATTAATTGGCAATTTAAGGTCAGGAGAAATTTAAACAGTGGTATTTAAACAGCATGAGAAGCACCAAATATTTATACATATATTAAATAGAAAAAAAACTGCAAGAATCTGAATTCTGAGAATATTATACCAGTATTTATTCAATATATATTCCCCAACTTTTCCCAACCCAAATCTCGGCCATGTTTTCAGTGTAATCAATAACCTGATATTATGGACTTTACCCTCAAAGCTCATAACATTCTTTTAAAACTGATAACATTTTGATATGCTAAAAACCAATTCGTACATTATGACACATCTGTAAAATACGATTTTTCTTATTAAAACATTAATTTAATAGTATGAACTATGAAAAAGATAGTTGTTTACAATTATTTGTGAAAAAGTGACTACAATATATGGTTAGTTAATAAAAATCAATATTTTGAAATATGATGTATCCACTAATAAAATACATAATTATATTGTTTGGCAATATGGACCAGAGACTGATTATCTGTGTGTTGCTTAAATTTTAAGTTATACATAACCCATGTATACCATTATGCCATACTTAAAAATCCATAAGATTCACTTCGGGGAATCCAATCATAAATTACCGGTACTGACATAAAAGGTCATTCAAATGTCTCAGGTCAAATCCCAACACCTGTAAAAATCTGGAAAAGGGGTGAACCCTCCAGAGCAATGAAAACAACAAAATTATATTAAATTGCAGACTCAGTTTGATTGAAGATAATGTAAAAGTGCAACATCTGTCATGTGACGCACCAAAGCACGGGCTTATGTAAAGCAGTATTCCATCTTTAACACTGACATGCTGGTAACTATGATTCTAAAGGACAAGAAAAACAAAAAGACAAATCCTTACAAAAATATACAGTAAAAGAGAACAAGAAAAAAGAAAGATTAGTAGCAACGGCAATGATAGGCTTCTGTCTAAAAAGAACTATTAAAAGTATTATGAACTCTTAAACATTTTGTGTTTTTCGTGGTAAAAGAAAGTTTATACATTAATTATACAAACCTTGAGAAAAATATTGCTGGTATTTCCTTTCACAAAATTGTTATTCTCTTGAAGACACTCCATTATTTTCACCATATTTGACAATACAACATCCACTTAACAATGTCAACTCTGACACAATTCCATGTCTACATTCTCTCCTTGTATTTGCACTAATTAAGTTTTAAAGTGTAAACCTCTTAACAGTTTCTGTTTTGCCACTTTTGTTCAACACTTCAAAAAAACAAAACATGTTCCTACAGAAACACATAAAAAAAACTTGACTGACATTACATTATGTAGTGTAAACGGTTTAGTTTATCAGCCAAGCGTATTAAAACCGTTGTGTATCACATCTTTTGAAGGTTGTTTAAGAATTTTATACATTCTAACCTATCTCAAATGTAAACAGTGTTTTGATCCTGTTTAAACAATCACATTGTTTAAATACAATGACATGTTTCCCCCTTATTTAAAACATATTGATAATTGTTTACCTTTCACAAACTTTGTGAAATTTACAAATCATTACAAAATATATTGGTACAACATTCTATTAACTCCCCATTTCACAAACTGGAACTTTTATTTCACTTGAAGAAAAACATGATGA